CTGTTTGTTTATCTATCTATCTGGCTATCTCTCTATCTATCTCTCTATCTCTCTTTCTTTCTATCTATCTCTCTATATCTTTCTCTCTCTATCTCTTTCTATCTATCTATCTCTCCATCTATCTCCCGCGCATCTATCTATCTATCTATCTATCTATCTATCTATCTATCTATCTATCTATCTATCTATCTATCTAATTATCTATCTGTCTCTCTATCGTTCTATCTCCCTATGTATCTATGTATCTATCTATCTCTCTATCTCTCTGTGTATCCCTCTATCTACCTATCTATTTATTTCTCTCTCTATCTGTCTATCTCTCTATCTCTCTATCTATCTGTCTATCTCTCTATCTTGTGTATTTATCCATCTCTGTGTCTTTCTATCTACCTTTCTTTCTATCTATCTATGTATCTCTCTTATTTATCTATCTTTCTATCTCTCTCTCTCTATCTATCTATCTATCTATCTATCTCTCTATCTCTCTTTCTATCTATTTATTTATCTCTCTCTCTATCTATCTATTTGTTTGTTTATCTATATATCTATTTATCTCTCTATCTATCTCGCTATCTATCTATCTATCTATTTATCTCTCTTTCTATCTCTATCTCTGTCTATCTATCTATCTATCTCGCTCTTTGTCTCTATTTATCTATCTATCTATCTCTCTCTCTCTCTATCTGTCTATGTATCTCTCTCTCTATCTCTCTTTCTATCTATGTCTCTAGCTATCTCTCTATCTGTCTATCATCTATATCTGCACTTAAAAGTTGCGATTTTCAAGCCCCGAAAGTTGACTTCGCGTACTACTTTTGTACTTAAAAGTTGCGATTGGACTTCACGTACTACTTTCGTATTTAAAAGTCGTGATTTTCCAGCAGCTGCGGAAATGGACTTCACGTACTACTTCCGTACTTAAAAATTGCGATTTTGAAGACCTAGCTGCGAAAGTTGACTTCCGTAACTTTCGTACTGACAAGTTGCAATTTTCGCAAGTGGACTTTACGTACTACTTTCGTACTTAAAAGTTGCGAGTTTCAAGCCCAGCTGCGAAAGTGGACTTCGCGTACTACTTTCGTACTTAAAAGTTGCAATTTTCAAGCCCCAGCTACGAAAGTGGACTTCGCGTACTACTTTCGTACTGAAAAGTTGCGATTTTCAAGCCCGGCTGCGAAAGTGTGACTTCGCGTACTACTTTCGTACTTAAAAGTTTCGATGTTCAAGCTTCAGCTGCGAAAGTGGACTTCGCGTACTACCGTACTTAAAAGCTGCGATTTTCGAGCCCCGGCTGCGAAAGTTGACTTCGCTGCGCGCGCCACGATTTCTGCACTGGATCTTGCGAAAGTGCTGCGCCTGCCACGAAATCTGCACTTGACCTTGCGAAAGTGCTGCACCTGCCACGAATTATGTACATGACCTTGCGAAAGTGCTGCGCCTGTCACGAATTCTGTACCTGACCTGTCGAAAGTGCTGTTCCTGCCACGAATTCTGTACTTGACCTTGCGAAAGTGCTGTGCCTGCCACGAAATCTGTACCTGACCTTGCGAAAGTGCTGCGCCTGCCGCGAAATATGTACCTGACCTTTCGAAAGTGCTGCGCCTGTTACGAAATCTGTACCTGACCTTTCGAAAGTGCTGCGCCTGCCACGCAATTCCAACCTTGGGAAAACTTGACCTTGCGAAAGTGCCGCGCCTGCCACGCAATCTTCACCTCACCTTGCGAAAGTGCTGCGCCTGCCACGCAATTCAGCCCTTGCGAAACCTCCGCGTTGCCGTGCCAATGTGCCCGCGCTCCGAGCCCGCTCCGAGCCCGCCCCGAACGCGCTCCGAACGCGCTTCGACCAGGCGCCGCGAACAGGCTAGCTTCCAGCTCTCCGGAGACACCAATTCACGCACGGGGCCACGCTTTTTGCAGATTCCTTTCTCCCACCACACGCGCGCGCATATTTTCTCGCGTGCTTGTTCCTTCTCTTCATCTGTCTCAGAGAGAGCTAGCTTTCAATTAGTTGCCGTAACACGGAAGTTCCTTCTAAACTTCCCTTTGATTAGTTTCTGGGACGATAAATGTTCGCATCCCAGCATCGCCTGGGTCTAACGTCCGAATTGAATCCTACAAATCAAAGCGTTAACATCCTCAGCGTCCCCAGCACATCGCTGACCCTTCTCGTGCGCCTGCCCTTTTGCCAAGACGGGGTCGGACATTTGAGGCCCAGCCAGTCCACGAAAATTCGGTTTTATTGCAGACAGACGCCCAGGGCCGGACCAAGAGTGACGTGACATCGCAGCCATCGCATGAGCCTGGACCAGGCGCGACGGCTTAAGTCTGGACACCGGCGACAACAGCTCAAGTCTGGACACCCCCTGCAAAAAGGATTGCAGATCCCAATGGAGATTTACGGGGGTTCCACACTAGGGGCTTAATTTTTGGGTGAGGGGGGGCAAACCGAATGGAGAGTCGAGAGATCAGAGTGTGGTGTTGGGACTGGTTTGATTTGAAACTCCACCCGGGAACCTCAGTGCTGTGCATTTATTTAGCGCCGGTTGGTCGCTTGGTCGCTTGGTCGCTTGGTCGCTTGGTCGGTTGGTCGGTTGGTCGATTGATTGGTCGGCTGGTCGGTTGGTCGGTTATGTTGGTTGGTTGCTTTGTTCTGATTTGAACTGTGTGTTCGATTTTCAGGTTGTGCTTGGGCTCCCATTCCCTTTGCATTTCACAAATTGACTTCACTGGTTGGCATCTGAGTTCCGGCCAGGCAGCCGCGAGTTCTGAAGGTTCCCAAGTTTTAACACGCCACTTCCAGGTTTGAACCTTTCGCCTGATGGCCGGCTTTTCGTCAAGTGGATTAGCGACAACTGGGCGACGGTGAAACAGGCGCAGGAAGATGCGTAGGACTCGTTGCACCTTGCCGTGTGGGAGTTTGGCTGTTTTTGTCCGAAGATAGCCTTGGCAGGCAGGCACGTGCGACTTGAGATACCCGCAATTTTTGGCGCTGGCAAAGGAAGCCAAACGGAGACAAACGTAGCAGATCATGGAGCACTGCATTCAGTACACTTTGCTCAGCCGAGCAAGTATCTTGAGCCACCTAGCCACCAGCAAACCTTGCATGAAGTGGAGCACGTGGACCTGCCGGCATTTGGCGGGCGATGCTGATCAGTGCTGCCAACATCCGGGCGAGCAATGGTGCCTGGAATCTCGCTAGGGAGGCTGCCCAAGACCAGCCCGGGAAGCTTATCTCAGGACGTTTCCGGGCCTGTGTGGATAACTCTCGCAGGGTTTGATTGAGCGGTATCCATCATGTTCCCCTCTCTTCAGTTGGTGTTTGTTTCTGCAGATCGCCAGCACACTTGTCGCATTGTAGTTGTGTCAGGCTTCCGGGTGAAAGTATGCAACCTGGAGTGAATCGCTTGCTTTTTCCTGTGAAGGTGATTGAGCTCATTCCGAGACTTAGGCAAGCTGTTTGCCCGTTATGACGTGTGTATTGAACAAGTTGGACTTGTTGCAGGAGTTCTTTGGTTTGTATACCAGTTTTAAATTGTTGAGATGCTTGTGCACTGCATGGCGCTGGCATCCTTGTAGTGAATCTGGCGTCCTTTGACCTCTCTGGGCGAATGTGTCACACGAGGTAGGTTGAAGCCCAGGTGCAAGGTATTGCTGCACGGTGCAGGTCTCGTGCCGCCCGTTGCGCTGATTCGGACAAGGTGCTACTAAGACCTTGCACACAACGGTCCGGGGCTTTTGAAGCTTAATGCTTAAGTTACGTTCCCTTCAGAAAAGGCGCTCATCATCCACATTCATGCCAAAATGATGAGCATCCACAGTCAAGGGCTCGCAGTCGATGATTCTGCAGCTTTGCTGATTTTGGCGCTTGATCTGTTGCTTTTGACACATGAACGCAAGAAACTCCCACAGTGTGGCCCTTTGTATTAAGCAGGGTGCCGCTCCCAAAACCGTAGCCCCACGGAACATGGCCTAGTTTTGCTCGCTCGACTCTCTGCATGAGAGCAGGCTCTTGAGGTTTCAACAGATGGATTGATTGCCTGACAATATTGTTTCGTCAGTTGATGTGTGTGTGTGTGTGCGTTTGTTTGGCCAACAATTCGGTTTGTTGCAGGGGTTCTCAGTCCGAACAGGGCTTTTAACTTGAAAGGAGCAGTTTCAACCCATGGTCCTCATCGACCGGGTCTGAATCAGGTTTGAGCGAAGAAGCTGCGTTTTGCGCAATGCTTCAATGTACACCTGGTGTAGCATGTATTCCGGACAAGTGATTCATGTTCAAACACAGGCCAATATGGGTCCTCGAGGGTGGAGTCGAGGATACAATTGCCGATTGCGAAACAAGGGCGTGTCAATGTCTCAAAGATCGGCTGAGGAGCATTTGCGAAACAGGGCCAGACTTGTCTCAGTCCCGAAGAGGCTCGTGTCAGGCTATAGTTCCCAAAGAAATACATGTTCCATCTTGACCCAGGCCCAGTAGAAGGAATCGCCCTACTTGGAATCCAACCGTTGTTTATGGGTACCCCTCCCAGGTTTCATTCGAGGGTTTCCATGTAGGCAAAATCAGACTCAGCGACAGTGCCAAAACTATATTTTGAAGGGTGCAGTGTTTCCTTCTTTGGCATGCGCTTGGTGCTGGGGGCAGGAAACTGACTGCTATTTGTTCAAAGGCACAAGGTGATTCTTTTAGGGACCTTTCCATTGACGGGGAGGAAATCTTCCCAAACAGACAGGTTGCACCATTCCGACAAGGCGTTCTGATTGGATTTTCTCATTGGTTTCTTCGGTGTGCAAAGCGAATGCGCACCATCCGCGCAAATCCGAGCCTGCGCCGTGTTGTACATGTTTGATCAGCCGATGTGAGTGATTTACGCTGGCCCGTTGCGTTGCATTTTGCGGAGAACAAAACGGACGGTTGAAAAGGCAAAATATGTGATAAGCATTGCACGGGATGGTCTGGCAAAGAAAATGACATCCGATTCAATCTTCAGCCAACTTGCGAGAGGATGCAGCAGTCCGCCTCGGCTTGGTCCTCGGGAGCTGAGCGGAAAGACAGCAACTCTTTGACGGTAAGAACCCAATTTGGACCCCCCCCCCCCCAAACTATGGAAACCAGCGGGATGTTCTAATACCCGCCAAAATTGAGTTTATCTTTTGCTGGAGCGCGTTTGCTGCCACCAATGAGTTGACATGTTTCCTAAGACAATGTTTAGCTCCGCGGTGCTCGAAGAGTTTTCCTGGGACTTTGACGCCAGCCATGGTTTTCAGTCACAGACACGTCGGTTTTCCTCAAAATCACCCAACAAGGGCACACTCAAAACAACACACGTACCCACAAAGGAATTGTGATTCATTCGCGCAACAAGTTCCCTCCTCAGTAATTTTGCAGTGATGGTTTCGCATGGCCCGTAACCCAGTTCGGATCAGTTCTGAGTGGACTTGCACAAAATGGGGCTTGCACAAATTTATCCATGGCAAACTTAATTTGCTCTTCGCTGACCAGAGGGGTCCCTTTGCCCTGCTGTTCAACAAATTCCGACTGCACAGTTTTCAGCTGAGGCCCTGCCTCCTGTGCTGAAGAGCTTCTTGGATGAACTGTCACAAATCGATAGCAGAGCAGGGGATGTGAGAAGACTAGTTGACTGGTTGAGGTCACAGCAATCCGGGCAGAACTAGCCAAGACAAGTCACTTTCTTGGGCAGCTGTCTGCAAAACATCGACAGCTACATGTGGAGGAAGTGTCAAGTGACGGACCCTCCAAGCCTATCCGAAACTGTCCAAGCCCATCCGAAACTGACTTCTTGGGGGCCGAGCAGACCTCCAGAATGGACCCCATTTCACCTTGAGAAGGGTGTGCTTCGGAGCTGCTGGGGAGCCACAAGCAACCATGAGTGCCTTCTTTTGAGGCTACCCCCCTTTTGGCTGATTAAAGGCAAACCAAAAGGAAGCCACCATTTTGGAGGTCCCCTATTTTAAGACACACCCATGATCCAAAGTTCTCAAAGGATTGATGACCCCAAGTCCACTACATGGAACCTGAAAGGGCTCCCTTAGGCCATCTAGTCTTGCGGCGATCTTAAAAACAAGCCCGTTTGAGCAGTTGAGGCTCAATACTGATGGTCTTTATGTTTAACAAGTTTGTCCGTTGTGCCCATGAAAGGGTCGTGGCCTTGGTTTTTTGTTCCCGGTTTTTCCCCGCTTCGATGCCGGCGCACGGCTTCAGCCGACGGTGTTCGAGGCCAAGATGTGAATCGGATCCTCCAGAAGGGCGCCGCCGCGCGGGCTGTGGAGCTGAAAGAGCTGGCGGCCTGTCCGGACTTCCGGGCGGGGCGGCGGAGGGGGGCTTTGGATGATTGGAATGGGGTGCTTGGTACATCCACTACGAGAATCATGCAGCTAAAATCCTGTCCAACTAGACCCCCAATCAGATTTGGGAGAATTCAATACAAAGATTGGGAATGGAAAGCACTTCAAAGCTAGGTTTGGGATGTGTAAAATGAATAATGTCCAATGTGGATTAGTAAACGGGAGCCCCCCCCCCCCTCAACGATGGGGGCATGGGGAATAGTATCTTGAGGTGAGTTTCCATTAGATTTAGTATTGGTAGACTTGAGTTTCCATTTGATTTAGTATTGCTGGAGCTTCCTTTTCAGATTTGGAACTGAGTTTGCATTTGATTTAGTATTGCTGGAGCTTCCTTTTCAGATTTGGAACTGGGTTTCCATTTGATTTAGTATTGCTGGAGCTTCCTTTTCAGATTTGGAACTGAGTTTGCATTTGATTTAGTATTGCTGGAGCTTCCTTTTCAGATTTGGAACTGAGTCTGCATTTGACTTTATTGTAAGGGCCCCTGGAATAAAGTCTTGGGCTTAAAACTTGGGTGCTTGAAGTACTACACCCTTTGTGGGTTTGAGGGTGGGCAGTTTTTAAACAAGAGACATGTAAGAAAACTTGAGTTTGGGCAAGGTCTGCAGTTTGGATTTTGGGGAGAAAGCAACAAGCTTCACCAGCATCAGCATCAGCATCAGCTGGGATTGTGTGTGAAGTTGGCTAGGTTGTTAGCCAAGAGGTAACTGCATGTAGGAAGTTGCATTTTTCAGGGGGGGGCCATGCAGTAAGACTTTATTATAGGGGCCCCTGCAATAAAGTCTTGGGCTTAAAATTTGGGGGCTTGAAGTACTACCCCCTTTGTGGGTTTGATGGTGGGCTGTTTTTAAGCAAGAGACATGTAAGAAAACTTGATTTTGGGCAAGGTCTGCAGTTTGGTTTTTTGGGAGAAAGCATTAAGCTTCACCAGCATCACCTGGGATTGAAGTTGGCTAGGTAGTTAGCCAAGAGGTGACTTTTTTGGGGACTTTTTTTTGGGGACTTTTTTGTTCATGGGTGGGGGGGGCAGGGGCTTGTCTTTAATTCAGGTGCATTTACTAATTATTTTGGGCCCCGAGAAGTCTTTATTACGCGTGCGTTTTTTAATCCCATTTGGACATTACCTTTCTTGGTGTGCCTCTTTATTCAATTTGTGTTTCAGACATCAGGCGTTCTGATTCTGCTGTCTCCCTTTGGCCAGCAGTGCATGAAGCACAGGCTAAACAAAAGACGTCCACCTCTTCCTTTGGTCAATCCAATCGGATTCCCCGTTTTGTTTTGTATGCCCCTTCAACAAGACCTTTCCCCAAACGCCCAGCACCCCAGCCCCCCCCCCTCCCCCCGAGGTGCGCATTTGCTCCGAAGAGCCGCACCGGATTCGGCTCCAGCGCAGTGCCTACACCAAGCTCATCCGCGCCCTGGGCGTGTCCAAGCGCAAGACGCCCGGCGCACGCCCCCCCGATTTGTGGGACTGGGACCTGATCTCAAGATCCCGTTCAAAGGTTTCAGGGATGATGCACAAAGCCCGCAAGGTCGAGGTGTTGGAAAGCCGGAGTTTGAAGGGTGCCCTGACCCTCTCGGATGAGTCTGGATCTGGCCAGTCTCCAGTCCTTTCCTGTGCAAATCCCCTGTCTGGCCAGCAATGGGAAAGTAAAAGGAAATGGCATTATTTATTTTCCAGGGCTGGAGGGCCAGGCCAGGATTGATCAGAGGGGGGGGGCAGCCTTGAAGGGGAGTGCGAGCTTGACAAACCTGGTTTGTTCAACAAAATGTGACAAGCAATTTGCCGGCTCCGGCTAGCCTTTGTTTGCTTTTGCCATTTCTGGAACGACAACCTTTGAGACTCTGAAAGGAGTTAACATTGTCAAAAGTACCGACAATAGCGTTGGTAATTTAACATGTTCCTTTATATTTGACTTTTGGGACGTGTTCAATCGGAGGGGGTTTTGGGAGGTCGCCAAAAAATGAGAGGGGTCTGTTGGCCCAACCTTGTAGGTGCCTTTACAGCAGTCTTGGCTGGCAGTTGGCTGCGAAAACCGAGTGTAGGGGGTTTAACAAATCATGTGCCGACATGTATTAAGTACTTAACGGGGCAAGGTACTTAGTACGTGGTTAGTACACCTGGTTATAGCCGACTTATCACCATGGGAAGTGGGTTATAGCCAAGCTTACTAACCACTTGCTAAGTACCCTGCCCCTTTCAGTACTTTGCCCAATGTTCGGCCAAGGGAAATGGAATGACGCTCGTGACTTCGCTCTTAGTGTAGTTGTGGAAGGGATTGCCTGGGCCCAGGAACTAGCGATGGCTCCAGGGACTTGGAACTGAGAACCCATCCAAAAGCGTACTTTGTGAATAGTCACAGTGGCTTCCCAGTTGTGGTTTTGTCGCGAAGGACTGGGACTTGGCCATTGGGGGATTTGGCAACCGAGGATGTGGAGAGAGGCCTGGATGCTGCTGGAGCCGCTTGAAGCGAACACCATCGGGTGCAATGGACACCATCGGGGGTTTTGGTGGTTTTAAACATCACCAAATCTCGGTGGCTTCTGGGCATTTCTCTCCTTTTTTCCAGGGGTCATCTTGCGGTTCCGTCCCCATATTCATGTGTTTACGGTTTTCAGCATCACCTGTTTGGGCTTAAGGTGAGTTTTTCTTGGTAGAGGTGATGTTTTAAGGGAACGTATGAGGAACCCTGACTACCTTGAGCAACTGAACTCATAATGAAAACACCAAGTTAATCAACCTGTCAACCTGTGCAGTAGTTGTTTCTCTTGTCCTGGGGCGCTTGGGGGGGGGTTTGCCCCCAAAGTGAAGGATATCCTATTGGAAGTGGACAGTGTATTGGACATGTGCCAAAGCTGGTTGCACTTGGGAGAAATGTGTTTAGACGGAAACACAAATGGAGTCGACCAATTGGAGGGCAGCTTGGTTTGATGCATTGCCGCCCAAGTGTTGCGTGCAAGCCAGCCAAAACAGTCAACGACAGGAAAGCACGCGTGTTATGATCAGCAGGCCTTTCAAGTTAAGCTTGTATGGATGGGTATCAATGCATTGAAAGGAAAGGATCTTTGAGAGACCCGTCTTGACGATGGTGCATGTGAGTTTCACTTTCTGTACAATATGACAGTGCCATGTAGGATCCTTTTCACGAAAGCTAGCTTTAGCTAGCTGAAGTTTCTCCTTGCGTAAGCAAGGTAAGGGGCTCAAATGCCGAAAGATTGATTTTTTCCAATGATTTGAGCCGAACAGATTGAAAAACATCAATTATTTAGACCCCCCCTCGCCTCCCACCCCCCTCCCCCCCCCCCGGTCTCAGGCTCGATTCCTCCCTGGTCCATCCCCCCCCCCCGGACAGTGGCTCAGTGTTCAGCAGTCTCGGTTTGCCCGTTTTGGACTTGGTGCTACGAACTTTTACATGTTCCGCCGATTCAGCTTGTTCATTTGAGACCTCTTTGCACACGCAGCATGCAGAACCCAGAGGTGCTTTAAGACAGCTTCTGACGCCTCTCGTTGTTTTCATTTTTCAAGGTTTGCCACGCCACCATGTGCGTTTGCGTGTCGCAACCTACGAATCTTGCCGGGCCTCTCGTTTTACACAAGCTACCCATGAATCCACTCTGTCACCGACCCATCTCATGCAACAACTGCTAGCTTTCGTGCACCCGCTCCTCAAGTGATTTATAGTTTAGTTTGGTTAGCTTGTTCTGAATGACTCTTTGACGCTTCAAGGAAATGCCGGGAGTTCCTGATCAATGACGACGTTATCATGCCGCCCAGCGGGATCTATCAGCAATCCCTGGGGCCCAGCAATTGGGCAGTCAGTTCGGTTTCAACTCGTTTTGTTCGCATCCACTCGGAGGATGCGGTTGTTTTTGGTTTGTTTGCAAAGGTGACTTTGAGGTCGCCCTCCGCGCCCTTGCAGACATTGTTTTTTGTTGGCTGCTTGACAAAGGCGCCACTGTTACCCTCCCAGAACAGTTGCGTGGCCAATCAACATCCGTGCGACAAAGGATCTTCGTGATGGAGCCTCAAACGACTCAGACCCGGTGCGCGCCTTTTCTGCTCGTAGCTGGTGCCACGGTAATTTGGTTTCAGCAGTGTTCATGGTTTGGGATCCTTCTAGCCCAAGAGCCAGCCATGATGAGGGGGGTTCACCTTTGCAGCATCCATTCTTGAAGATCCACTTCATGAGGCATGATGGGATTCAACCAAGACCAATACTTCCCCAGTGCTTTGACGAGAGAGCGCTTTGACAAAATTCAATTCTCCCCCTCAACTGCATGGTAGTGAGAAGGGGAATTCAGCAGGTGGCTGATACACTCTGCGGTCAAAAAATCTGAAGCGACAAAAAAATAATTGCTTTGGGTCCAAGAAGGGGTTGATCAGTTATGCGACCCGCATGCTCAGACCCGCCCTCTCCTGTGTTCCTTTTATCTAGCCAGTCAGCTACTAGGAACCACCAAACATGTCATATCCGATTTGTTGTTTGCATGTCTGATTGAGTTGCGCTAGACACCATACAGGTGGCCGGCGTGCTCGGATTCGCCGTGTGAGGGGATGTTTAGTCATTGAGATTGGAGCGAGGTACAACACGGTGCTTCAGGTCTTTGCTCAAGGCGCGGGGGCCCGAGCACGCGCTGGGATTCGACCGAATTGCACCGAACGCTACTTTGAAATGGAGAGAACATGAAGCCACTTGGGTCTCTGGTTTTGATTCGTTTCCAAAGTGAGTCAGAAACACTTAGGGCACAACATCTAAGCACCAGCCTACCATTGACCACAGCTATGGTAGCTTTTGCGAATGGTCTTGTTGGATGTAGCATAGTTTGCTGCCAGCCCCAGTTGAGTCAAGATCCCTGGCAGCCAGCCACTGGCTGAAAACCATGTCCCTCCTGAACGACATGCTGATCTACGGGCCCTTCCCGGATATCGTCAGCTTCAACACCGCACTGAGCGCCCTGAAGCGCAGCAGGCCGATTTTGGTTCGTGTTGACCCCTTGCGGTGCTGGTCAGTCGGAAACCACCTCAACCACCTCAACAGTTGGGTGCATCTTTTCGGAATCGGACCTCTTTCAGAACGGTGGTGGTTCCTTTTGGTTCTTCTGTAAAAGCCACCCAAACAAGGGGTACCAACTCAAAAAACGACGAGCCACACTGTTGGGCATGAATCACCGAGGTTCTGGTGTCCAACAACAGGGCCCCTCAGACGTAGCAAAGTTCGCTGGAGCTCAGACCCCCAAGAAACGGCCTATTCGAATCTAAGAGTCGCCTTTCAAACATGAAAGCTAGCGGTCCATGTTTGGTATCGCCAGCCCATGCCATGTCAGCTTGCCCTTGAGGTGCTTCATTCAAGTCTTTTGGGGGTCGGATCGAACTGTCAAGAGCATGTGTGTGTGTGTGCACGTTTGTGTTTGGATTTGCGAGTTTGTTTGCTGCGCTCCTTTTCTACATTGGTCGGAGGCTGGCTGTTCAAGGGCCTGCTCCAATAGCCGTTCCGAAGGTGAGAAGCATATCAGCTTCGGGCTACCGCTTTGAAGAACTGCCTTGGGATATTATCAGGTTGCAATGTGTTTGGTCACCTTTCTGAGATTCTGTGTTGAACCAGGTTGAAATCTGCGTGAAACATATTTGTACAGTTTGGCAGAATACGTCGACTACTCCGAACAAACAACCTGGGATTTCATCTACACAACATGTCCAAAGATGTCCCCTGCTCAGGGGTTTAAATTTCTCAAATAAAGCGTTCTTGGCTTCTACATGAGGCCTGCAGCCCACCCATGACCAGATCATGTGCATACCTTTTGTCTGAGCTACAAGACTTGGCTATTGGCTGCTTGGACTTTGTGACGGTCATCAACCTTCTTCTGTACAGGCTAAAGCTGATGTTCTTGGATGGGTTCTGGAGGGGAACACGCAAACATAATTGTACATCCTTCAATCAAAATCATAGTTGCGGTGTTTTTGCGAGCAGATCAACAAAGCTAGCATGATGCTTACAATTCTGGGCACTTCCAATCACTCGGCCACATTCAGTGACCTGGATACGCTGATGTTTGTCAAAAGCCTAGCTGAAGAGTCTCCCACCCAAAAACAATGCCCATCGCGGACAAACCGCATGGGCGTCCATATGCACTTGCAACCGGCATTTTGGGCGATGAATATTGAGAGCGCGGGGGGATGGTCCGGATATGTTCTGTTGTAATCCAATAACGCCAAGTCATATTGACAAAGTAACATGCTGTGGATGGACAAAATTCTGCAGCACCTAAGAAACCCTGGAATGATGATTCTCCTTTAAATACCAACTAACAATGGTTTCAACCATGGTTTTTTAGGTGGCGCGAAAAAGATTTCGTCCATCCACAGTATGGGTGCAATTGGGGCGGACGCCTGAAAGCCGTTGTTGTTTTGCTTGGCGTAGCAACTTCCATTACTTGCCGTGGGGATCCCTTCAATTTCCTAAGCAAGCTCCGGTCAAGCGCCAAACCTAGGTTTCATCTTTGCTTCCCAAGCTGGGTCGCTAAGTTGCAACATGTGTTTGTCTGCCCCTTGCAACAATCATGGAAACGGCTAGGAGGCCTTCCCAAAAGGAAAGTAATCTGCCAAAATCCTCCCGTCAGCTTCAATAGGGTATCCAGTAGCTTGGACTGTTGGAGGCTGTGGAGGCGGGTTCTTCAAGTGCTGGCGGCCATCCCAGAGGCCAACCTGGAGGCAAACCAAAGGACAGCCGGATGGCCCATTAGCTTTGAAGGAAGCAAGCTGATCATGTATGTATGTTGTTAACATATATTCATATTTATACACACTTAGACGTTTGTGTCTAACCGAATTGCCGACGAGCCTTTGTTTCAAGGGAGTGACCGCAGATTCGTTCGTCACGGTCGGCGACTTATCCGATAGGTTGTTCCGTTGCTGAACAAGAGTGCGGAAAAAAGCAGTGCGAAGCGAGCGCAAACATCGGCAACACGTACACAGCGTAGCAATTCCTTGCTTAGCTCGAAAAGCATTGTAAAGCGCACACGTTTTGACGCACCGCGAACTTCAAGCAAGCAGAAGAAGGACTTCTCGAAGAATATCGAAGAATTTGCATGGATGGTCCGGAGTTGGTTATGCTCCTGTCAACCTCTATCGTTGCCTCTTTGTAAACCCTTGTAGGTTGGCCAACCATTTAGCTATCCCCCGCAGGCCATTGAAAGCAACGCTCATTCATGTTACTGGGAATTGTCCGCGTGTAGATGTGTATTTATTATATATATATATATACAATATATTCATGTGTATATGTTGGCACGTTGACGTGTTCGGAAGCTTTACTACCGCACAATGCAGCTCACAACCACCACGCAGCTCACAACCACCTGCCCCACCCCGTTTGGTCTCTCAAATGACGAACAACACATAAGGTATTATCCTGCCATTGTGCAGGACATTTGGTAGCCCATTCGGCATCCTAGCGCTGGGGAATCGGGGGAGCCGGCTTTGATCGACAGTGCGAAGGGCTCTTTGCAACTGTGCAGAGGCCCGTGGTGATACAGACACAAGCCGCAAAAAAGATGAAACATATCATGAGAGCAGCAAAAGCTATGCCATGAGCAATAGGCACAGTCGCATGACAATCTTTTGAGAAAGTAGTACTCGCCCAGAAGACTTACGGGGCTCACCAGCCAGCAACCAGGTGCCGAAGTGCCATCAACTTGTTTCCGGGTGTTGATCTTGTGGCTTCAGACCAAAAGCCTCGGTGCTTGGGACTGGTGCACTCGCTGTGTTCCGACCAGGATGTGGCTTTCTGTCCCCAGGGTTTGAGGCTGCCATTGACAGAGCCCTGGGTTTGGCTGAATGCCTGGGCCTTTTGGATTGGTTGGCATTCCATTGGATGCCGCCCATTGCCATGGATGCCGCCGAAATGAAACGGGTTGTATGTGGATGAGGCTCCAGCAGAATGCTATTGTCAAGTGAATCACACGTTTGGTAGCAAAACTGTTGAAGTCTTCCATTTGAACCCGAGGATGTGTCAGCCGTTTTGCTATGTGGGATTTCGATGAGACAGAGTCCAGGTGTCATTGGAACCAAATTGTCACTTGAAATGGGAATGTCCATGTGAAATGGGGGGAGCACGATGGGCTTTGAGCATGACACATGGTCTCGACTGTCAAATTAAGTTTAGATCGCACGGGAGGCAAATAAGAAATTTTGCGCTTGAGACGGGTTCACCTGTGCGAAGCATTTGTGGTTGATCTCCCCAAGGCAACAGCGAAACTCTTGGGTTTAAGTCCATCTTTGGGAGATTAGTCAAAAACTGGAAACCAGCCTCTCAGGACATACAGCATCGCCGTTGCTGCGTGCAAAGAGAACAAAGAGAAGTCCCGGGAGTTGATGCTGGACATGACCAGGCGAGTTGAAGTTGAGTCAGCTCTGCTTGCATGAAACCAACCATGAATGACTCACTTGTCAAGGTGAACCTTTTATTTTCAGGTCCTTTGGGCAACCGAGATGTGTAATTGGCTGAGTGCATCGCGATGCACTCAAACCCAGGTACGAAGTTGGGGCCCAAAGGCTGCGCGGGCCGAGGGGCCATGCAAAAAAAATGTCATGAGCAATCCGGTGACAAGTGCAACCACGTTTTGCTCAGTTCCCCAAGCCAACCCGTTTGGCCTTTTTGTTTCCCATATTTAGTCAAAGTCACGAAAGGTTGACTTTTTGTTTCCAGGTCCTTTGGGCAAGTGAGTTTAAGTCTGTCCCTGCTGCAGGAACAGTGACATGTTGAGGTAGCAAGTTGCTACAAAAGCTGAGCAGCAATACACTGTCCATGCGAGCGAAGCTGGCTTCAGGCGATCCATGGCTCCTGGAAATATTGTCCGGACTGCGCAGCTCGGCTGTGCCCCTTTCGTTGCTACAAGAAGTCTAAGACAAGGGTGGTTTGTGTGTGTGTGTGTCTGTGTGTCTCTGTGTTTCTGTGTCTCTGTGTGTCTCTGTGTGTCTCTGTGTCTCTGTGTCTCTGTGTGTCTCTGTGTGTCTCTGTGTGTCTCTGTGTGTCTCTGTGTGTCTCTGTGTCTCTGTGTGTCTGTGTGTCTCTGTGTGCCTCTGTGTTTCTGTGTCGCTGTGTTTCCGTGTGTCTCTGTGTGTCTCTGTGTTTCTGTGTCTCTGTGTTTCTGAGTGGCTCCGTGTGTCTCTGTGTGCCTCTGTGTTTCTGTGTGTCTCTGTGTGTCTCTGTGTGTCTCTGTGTGTCTCTGTGTGTCTCTGTGTGTCTCTGTGTGTCTCTGTGTGTCTCTGTGTGTCTCTGTGTGTCTCTGTGTGTCTCTGTGTGTCTCTGTGTGTCTCTGTGTGTCTCTGTGTGTCTCTGTGTGTCTCTGTGTGTCTCTGTGTGTCTCTGTGTGTCTCTGTGTGTCTCTGTGTCTCTGTGTGTCTCTGTGTGTCTCTGTGTGTCTCTGTGTGTCTCTGTGTGTCTCTGTGTGTCTCTGTGTGTCTCTGTGTGTCTCTGTGTGTCTCTGTGTGTCTCTGTGTGTCTCTGTGTGTCTCTGTGTCTCTGTGTGTCTCTGTGTGTCTCTGTGTGTCTCTGTGTGTCTCTGTGTGTCTCTGTGTGTCTCTGTGTTTCTGTGTCTCTGTGTGTCTCTGTGTGTCTCTGTGTGTCTCTGTGTGTCTCTGTGTGTCTCTGTGTGTCTCTGTGTCTCTGTGTGTCTCTGTGTGTCTCTGTGTGTCTCTGTGTGTCTCTGTGTGTCTCTGTGTGTCTCTGTGTGTCTCTGTGTGTCTCTGTGTGTCTCTGTGTGTCTCTGTGTGTCTCTGTGTGTCTCTGTGTGTCTCTGTGTGTCTCTGTCTCTGTGTTTCTCTGTGTGTCTCTGTGTGTCTCTGTGTGTCTCTGTGTGTCTCTGTGTGTCTCTGTGTGTCTCTGTGTGTCTCTCTGTGTTTCTGTGTCTCTGTGTGTCTCTGTGTGTCTCTGTGTGTGTCTCTGTGTGTCTCTGTGTGTCTGTGTTTCTGTGTCTCTGTGTCTCTGTGTGTCTCTGTGTGTCTCTGTGTGTCTCTGTGTGTGTCTCTGTGTGTCTCTGTGTGTCTCTGTGTGTCTCTGTGTGTCTCTGTGTTTCTCTGTGTGTCTCTGTGTGTCTCTGTGTTTCTGTGTCTCTGTGTGTCTCTGTGTGTCTCTGTGTGTCTCTGTGTGTCTCTGTGTGTCTCTGTGTGTCTCTGTGTGTCTCTGTGTGTCTCTGTGTGTCTCTGTGTGTCTCTGTGTGTCTCTGTGTGTCTCTGTGTGTCTCTGTGTGTCTCTGTGTGTCTCTGTGTGTCTCTGTGTGTCTCTGTGTGTCTCTGTGTGTCTCTGTGTGTCTGTGTTTTTGTGTTTCTGTGTCTCTGTGTTTCTGTGTGTCTCTGTGTGTCTCTGTGTCTCTGTGTGTCTGTGTGTTTCTGTGTTTCTGTGTCTCTGTGTCTCTGTGTGTCTCTGTGTCTCTGTGTCTCTGTGTGTCTCTGTGTTTCTGAGTGTCTCTGTGTGTCTCTGTGTGTCTCTGTGTCTGTGTGTGTCTGTGTGTCTCTGTGTGCCTCTGTGTTTCTGTGTCGCTGTGTTTCCGTGTGTCTCTGTGTGTCTCTGTGTGTTTCTGTGTCTCTGTGTTTCTGAGTGTCTCCGTGTGTCTCTGTGTGCCTCTGTGTTTCTGTGTTTCTGTGTCTCTGTGTTTCTGAGTGTCTGCGTGTGCCTCTGTGTTTCTGTGTCGCTGTGTTTCCGTGTGTCTCTGTGTGTTTCTGTGTTTCTGTGTCTCTGTGTTTCTGAGTGTCTCCGTGTGCCTCTGTGTTTCTGTGTCGCTGTGTTTCCGTGTGTCTCTGTGTGTTTCTGTGTTTCTGTGTCTCTGTGTCTCTGAGTGTCTCCGTGTGTCTCTGTGTGCCTCTGTGTTTCTGTGTTTCTGTGTCTCTGTGTTTCTGTGTGTCTCTGTGTGTCTCTGTGTGTCTCTGTGTGTCTCTGTGTGTCTCTGTGTGTCTCTGTGTGTCTGTGTGTTTCTGTGTTTCTGTGTCTCTGTGTCTCTGTGTGTCTCTGTGTCTCTGTGTCTCTGTGTGTCTGTGTGTCTGTGTCTGTGTCTGCGTGAGTGTGTTTTTGAAGATGCCCTTTTCACCTTGTTTAAAAAGCAAGCCCAAAAAAGGGAACCCACCCTCTTTCTTCTTTGTTTTTTTGGCTGGAGGTGGGGGGTCGCCGATGCTGGCACCTACCCGTTTTGCACGCGACCATTTCTCCCTAGGTTTCTTGCCGCCTCGGGCGACGCGGAGTGGCAAGTCTGCCTCCAACAAGTCCAGGAGCTCCGCTCAGGCGAGTCGCCTCGTGTTTTCGCTCTTGAAAATTCTTGGGCGGCTCTCTCCCGAAAGAAATGAGTTGCCAATGTCTCACGCGGTGTTTGCGGGTTTGCGGGTCTTTGTTTCGCAAGCGCCCTGGGAGGCAAAGTATGGCAGACCGGCTTGAGGATCTTGGAAGTTTAAGTCCTAAAGCGAAGCACTGGTGGGAAAAGGAAATTGAAGCAATGGCGGTGATCCCCTCAGACTGACTTCAATCTAGTGTTTATATATACCAGCCAGGTGAAAGGCATTGACATGGAGTCTTGACCCGCTGAATGGGATCCATGGATTTGTCAACCTCTTCGGGCAGTGCAACCACAGAAATGAGCAGAAACGTTATACATTGCTGAATGGGTGTTGCAAGCCGTCCTAGGCTATCCTGAATTGTTGGGGTGTGCTTCATGAAGGTAGATTTCCAAGGCAAGGAGTCTTGTGAGCATGAGCCCTATACCGGTTAGCTTCCATGTATGGTGATGTGTCAGCTAGAAATGTTCGGATTTTTTCCTTGGCCCTTGCACAGATACCACTTGCCTTTTCGTAAAGACTGGAGGCCTGTTGAGGTTAAGCGGCTTCCCCAATTGGATGTCATGGTTCTGACACAAAGATACTCTCCCTCCCACAAACATGGCAGCTGACGGGGGGGATCTTTAAGAGGACATTGATCTTCCCACAAATACGTTGCAAGGTTATCTATTCTTTGGCTGACTATTTCGGAGTGGCTATTGACCACCTTGCCAAGCCCAAGTCCAAAGCGAAAGGAACAGACGTTCGGCCCCGAAAGTCAACACACTGAACCACTTGAAAGAAGCACTCATCCTCTTGCGGGGTCGCCATCCGCGTTGCAAGAATACCTGGTCTTCCTAAGTCCGTTTTTGTCTGCCTTTCCTTGGCAAACCGCTTCTTCAGGGAAGGTCATCATATTTTTGCCTTGAGGCGATTTTCCTCAATATTGTCATGTTGGATAATTATGCAACAAACTGGCCGAGGCGTTTTTCCATGATACAACGGCGTTGTTTTTTCTTCTCCGCGATATAAAGGCGTTTTTGGCGAACCCTGTTCTATGGAACGTGTCCCAAAGGCGCTTCTTGAAGGAAAAGGCGATTTGTGATGGAAACGACTGAAATATCTGTAGTTACGGCAAAAAGCGGAAATTCTGCACTCCAGGTTTTCTATAGGTATGGTTCAAAGGTGCACCTCTTCGGCAGAGTTCATGGTTTAGCCTTAGAATGTCTGAATTACGCCCTTCGTCCATTGTTGATCACTAGCACTGATTCCAATCGACGCTGACACTTGTGTTTCCTGCTTGCCCGATACCTTCAACGAAATCCGAGTCCGACGCGTCTTGAAAGAGTCCGTTCAGGTGGGGACATCCCTGACGCGCAGATGCTGACGACGGCGGTGGTTTCCTGTGGGAAGATCAGCCAATGGCCTTGGGCTGTGAAGCTCTTGGACGAGGCATGACTTCCCGCGATGGGATCCCAAACCTCGGATGGACGAGGCATGTTCTGCCTGCTCAAAAGCAATGCTCTCATTTGTTTCTCACTGAAATGTCGCTCGAGCGGACTTCATTGTGTTGCCAGCGTTGTTTATGATCTGCAGCTTACACACAATTCACGACTGGGCCAAAGTTGCAAGTATGTTATCTCTTTCCTGTTCACAACCGCAAAATGGATACCTGGGGGGGGTCCCGGAACTCCCGTGAGTCACGATATCCCATGACCGTGCCAAACCTTAATTTAGATCCTTCTTAAGAGCCTGTGTTTGCGCTTCAGCTCCGGTCAAGCTTGTCTCCTTCACCCCCAGTCTCTCACATTTAGGCTGTGCCAAAGGTCCAGTTCTTGGCAAACGACGGGATTCGAGTGTCCAAAAGACTAATGCTAACCCCGGATGAAGTTAAACCCCTGGTGGATTGTTATTGGGGCGTGTCCCCTTTTAGTGGGGATTCAGACCACTTTTGGAGGGAACACCCCCCTAATACTGGGACGGGTTTATTAATCCTGGTCAACATTCACAAAAACACACGATCTGCTGGAGCTTCAAGGTCTGACAAACATAGCAGGATTGATGCGAGAACCAAAGGCGCTGATTTGTGGGATACCCTGTTCTGCAGGTACGCATTCCAAAAAGCAAGATCCCGAACAATGCCTCAAATATGAGCAGCGAAATTAAGGGCTTGCAGTAGCGCTGGAATGCGTAAGCTGAGCATGCAAGCGCGTCAACTTTCCTTGCCTGATGGAGAAAGGACTCTCCGGCGGATGGGATTTCCCGCAATTTTCACGGGTTTCTCGCTCGATCCGTAGGCGGATTGGCGCGCGCAGCGGGACCTGGGCCTACGGAGCGCGGTGGAGATGGCGCTGCTCAAGGCCGGCCAAGCGCAAAAAGCTGAGGCGCGGGTCCAAGAAGGGCTCGGGGGGGAGGTGCTGAGCTGCTCGGGTCCCCGGAAGGCGGGGGCGGGGTTAGACCTCAAAGCAGAACCTTCGTGCATGCTCGGGGTGGCCTCTCCAACCTCGAAACATGAACCACAACAAAACCGCCCCCAAGCAAAATTAGGGGTTAGTAGATCCAGGGTTCCCATCATCACTAAAGTGGTGGTGATGATTTGAACTGCTTCTTGTAGGTCACACAGGCGCGGGGTTGTCAGGGGTCGAAAGCGGGGCACGTCCGATTGCCAGCAGGTTGGGAGTTGTTAAGGGAGATGCACTTGCCCCAAGTCACTGGCACCCCGTCTTGCCGTTTTGCACGGAGGGTGCTAGGCTTCACGGCTACGGCTGAGGTGGTGCGCACCACCCGACCTCCGGCAGCCAAGGCTTTTGAAGGCACTCGATCGATGCTACCGCCGGGGTGGGGGGGGCTTTCAAGCAACTCCTAAAAGAAGGTTTTTCCTGCACCACCTAAATCTAATGTGGGGTGATGCTTCCCCTGTAAATACCAACAAACAATGATTTGCTATGGTTTCAAAGTGGTGCAGGAGTTCGTCCACCCAAAGTATGTTTGTGCACAGACGGGGGGCGTTTAATATGAGGGCTCCAGATTTTGGATCCCTTGCGGGTGGGTGTTTTACGGAGTATTTATTTCAGCATCCATTGAACAGCCCCACGTTACGTCGCCTCATGGTTATTTTTGCGAGGTGTACGATGGCCAACAAGGTAGCAGGTAGCAGCTAGCCTCCTCGCAGCTTACTTTTATGGCCACAGCCAAGATGTGGGGAAATCCAGCTGTATGAATTGTGAACGGAATTGAACGGTCTGTTTCTTGCCATGGTGGACAAACCAGCTCTTAGTTTTTCAGGAACACGTCCTACGACCAGCGGAACGAGGGCCTTGTCAGATGGGATGGAACCTTTGGGCATGGGCAATGTTTCTGGAGGTCTGGAATGCAAGTTCTTTAGGCAAAGGAATCGGTCTGGGGCCAGGGCATGCCAGGGCTTCAACTGGGAGTCTGCAATTGAATGAACAGCGGCATCGCTGACGTTTCCCTACCCCTTTTCTCCCCCGAGGCTAGAGACCTACGAGGCTGAATCTTGATGGGTGAACCCCTGGCCAGAGCGTGGGTTCCTTGCTTTAGGTTGCCCAAAGCTGATCTTTTGATCTTGTCACTTCTAATTTATGACCCTTCCCTTTGTCACAGTCCCAAAAAAGAATAAGTCATTCGTCAATTTGAAGACTTAGTCGGCTAGATTGTCCTTTTCGTGCCTCCCGTGAAGCGGTTGGCTACGCATCTTTCACCCTCTCCGTTTGGGCATATGTTTTAATGTGCGTTTGGATTCCCACGCAAAGTGTTGCCCCCTTCCTTGTTTGATTGCTATGGGCACGGGTTCTATTCGGCCAACGGAACCTCCACAGGACTCTTTTGCACGGGGAGAGAAAAGAAACCGCAGCCGTTTGGGCCGGAAAGCTCTAAGGTTCCCAAGTTCCCTCTGTTGATTTCTTTGCTTGAGTCAGTGGTCCATGGTCAAAATGGCGGCGTTTCTTTCCGGCTTGGATCTCGCCCCCTTGGTCACATGCCCGCCACAGTCGTGCAACATGCCCCTGGTTGATTCACAAATACACCCGGGTGGTCAATTGACCCAGATGAGTGGCTCGTCTTTGTCAATATTTGGACTCCATGTTGCGGTTTTGCTTTTTCCCCAAAAAAAAGCACACAAGCATGGATGGTGTGTGCTTTTGGTTTCCGCAAGATCCTCCCAAAAAGGAGGTGTCACAAAAGACGTGCCACCCAGTGGCAGGCCTGGAGGTGCCGCTCACTCGCCGCGCCGAGCTCGCCTCGGGCGCGGCCAAGATGGCCGCTGCGCAGGTGGGCGCGTGGCAGGTGGCCGTGGAAGTGCTGGAGGACGGGGATGGCCTTTGTTGGGACCTTCGCAAACGAGGGGGTGGGGGGGGTGTGGGGGGTGGGGGGTGGGGGATTGGGTCTCCGAATTTACCCAGCGAGACGACTAGGTCCAAAATTCCTAGTAAAGACGAGCCACCCAAGGGTATCACAGATGTCGGCCACGACTTAGGCCAAGGCTAGACACTCCCTGAAGTCCTGGACTTTTATACTTTTGGGGAGGGTTCCACTGGTTTAGATTGGTGTTATTCCATTTACCAGCATCTATTGGTCCCCAATGGCCAAGAATCGTAAAAAAGCAATAACCAGTAGATGTCAACCATGCGGGGAGGCGTGGTCAAATTTCAAGCGCTGGTGTGGCAACTTACGAAAAGGCAAAGGAGGGGCCTGAAAACGCCACTGAGGGGGGGGGAGGGGAATGAGGCAGGCGATAGGGCTAGATGTGTCGCTTCTTTTCACTCTTTTAACTAGCGTCAAGCCCCTCATTTGTCAGTTCTCATTGAGCAAGCCTATAAGCCATGCCAGTCGGGCTCTAGGGATCCTTTGAACCAGCTAACGTCTCGGGACGCCCTTTCGCTCACCGCAGTTCTAGGATGAGCAGCCTATACCGGTATACCTCTTACACATGACAGTCAGTTGCACGACCTGAATTTGGCGCACAGCACGAAGGTAACTTTACTGATTTGAACCGCCATGTTGAAAGTTAATGTTTTCTCCAACACCAACTTATACGAAACATGAACACGTCACTCGAAACACGGCAAGTATAGTGTTTCCAAAGCCGTGTCTTTTGAGGAACCCTCTCATCGCCAATGGTTAACCTGTTTATTTCCAGCAACAATATTTAATCCATCTTGGGTGGCTTTTGTCAGCGGCTGAGCCAATGCCGTTGCAAGAAGCCAGTGTAGTTTTGACATGATTATGTTGGTTTCCCTTCTCAAGGGGCGCGTTTGGAATGTTCAATCCAGATTCCCAACCCATGGCTGCTATACGCAGATTTGTATCTACGAGTAAAGCTAGAGTTGAACTGATAGGCAACTTGATCCTGTTGCCTTAAATCCAACTTGCAACATGCAACCTGTCATGGCGTCATGGCAATGAGCCCTGGCAATGGCAGTCTGAGATCCGCGAAGAGGCAAGAACCACACTACCAGACGGCGGAAATTGCACTTCTCGCAGAGCCACATGACTTCGACATAAGACATTAATCTTAGCGGCATGAAGAAAAGCCACGTGTCGTCAGATACCAGCTGGTTACAAGCGCCCTTCAATTCTATGTCGCGGTGTCTGACGTTTGATCTGTTTTTCATGAACGCTGATCAAGATGGGATAGGCTTCCTGGCAAGGTTCACATTGACGCCATGTCAATTGAGGCCAACGCTTCTGCAGCGCTTTTTGAACCTTGGTGGGCCTTTGCGGGCATGCAATCCAAGCCCTATGCAACACGGTCTCCGGGAAAGCGAGTACCAGAACTACACCAGTGGAAGCCCATGAAATGCTTCAAATGTAGGAGGTTTGTTTCGGCGTTTCTGCCGGCTTTGGCTGGCGATGGTCGAGTGTGGTTTGATTGCAGTTGCCTTATTCAGCTCTTGTTCAGAGAAAGGGGGGCTGAGAGGAGCTGTCCAGGTTTGCTTTAGAGGGCAGGAACTTACCAGTATTCGGGTTAAGAGCTCCCCCGCGATATCTTTTCTTTGACTAAGAATACAGGACTCTGTACAGAACATAGCGAATCACGGGATTGCGCGGCTTACAAGCCTGAAGGCCACTTTGCTCATTTGGGGCCTCCATTTTCCCATAAATGAACACTTCAAATTGCGGTGTCTCTGCACATTGGCGATGTAATTCTGGTCCAGATGCATCTAGGTCATGGTTTTATATGGCTGTGGGTCAAAACCCTGTAATGGTGAACATCAAAATAGCTGGCAAATGGGATGTTCATCCACCACAAAATGGAGCCATACTGTGGATGGACGGAATCCTGAACCACCTAAAAAACCCTGGGGTGATGCTTCCCCTGTAAATACCAACAAACAGTGGTTTCCTATGGTTTCAAAGTGGTGCAGGATTTCGTCCACCCACAGTAGGTTATGCCCCATGGCTGTATATTCCTCGAGCAAGCTGCTCGGTGGCGGTTGGCAGGGCCTTTGGCAGAAGCGGCGCCGACCTAACGGCCGCCTGCTGCGCGATGCTGTGGAGCTTTGTGGGGAGCAGGCCAGCAGGGAATCACCTGGGTGAATTATAACGACCCCACACGACTTCACCCCAAATGGTTGTTTTTTGGGGAATAGCCCCCCAACCACCTTATTTCAGGTTGGTGAAATATTATAATTCACTCAGAATCACCAGGCAGCTGGTCAAAGCACGGATGGAGACAAATCTGCACCAGTTGGTGGAGGTAAGCCAAGTATTCATAGGGTTTTATCCAACTGGTGCAGGATTTTGTTTATTTCACAGGCCACAGGAAGGACCGTTTTCATCCACAGGCCACAGGAAGGACTGTTTCAGGGACAGCTTGAAGAGGGAGCCAACACAAAACCTCTTTGACAACATCTTTCCATTTGACGGAAGTCAATCAATACCTTTTTGTCTCCACTCCGCAAATTGCTGGCAATAAATACCTCATATCAAGACCCTAGGTTTGAGATGAAGAATAATGCGGCACCATGAGAGCGTGCTGCAGATACCTGGGACTCTGCAAACTGGCAGCTCAATCATACGCCTTTGTTCTTCCGAAAATAGACGGACAAACGCACTGCTCTCTCTGTGAAGTTAAGCCAACGCCGCACACCTAAGCAAATACATTCACTGAGAGGCTTATTGCAGACTCTCTAGAAATTCGGCAGTGACCGAAGTGGTGCCGGGTAGAGGAAACAACACCCCGTGGAGAAAGCAGGATGATGTGCTCATCCCAAGGCTATTTGCATTGCATGCTGAACAGTCAATACTTCACCTTGATCAGGACAATGAATCCGAGTTCCCCATTTTGCATGGTGTCAAGGGGAAGCGGCAAAAGTATCGTCAAGCAGAACATCAAACTCGAAACAACAGGCGTGTATCAGCTATTTTGAGGCAGCGGTGGAGAGTAGCTACCTTTCGGCGCAGTTGAGTACCAAATGTTTCTTCGACGAGACTTTTTTCAGGAAGCATAGCTTGGAAAGAGACAGCTGCAAGCGCAGCAGCTATGGTGCCAAGGCTGCACTGCAACTAAAGCGACAAGCAAGTCAAAGTGGAAACTCGCACGTCAGACTTCTCGGGGTGTGGATGTAGCATGTCGTCAGAAAGGTTAGCCAGACCCTTTTCGCAACTGCCGTTTATTTTATGCAGAAAACAAAAGCAGCCTGCGAGCCAGTAACACGTTTGTCCAAATGACAAGGCCCAAGATATTCGAATGGGTTTGTCTGAGCACAGGCTCCCCCCCAAAAAAATAGAAAGGGCAACAGTTGACACCAAAAGGTTTGGTAACCAAGGGGTGGTTTGGATTGCTTTGGATTATGTGAAAGCACCGGACAGGCCTCCAAACCGGGTATCCGGGTTCCAAGCCACGAAGGGGAGGTGGAGAAACTGCACGATTCCTCGACCTTTTTTCATCAACCAGGGGATTAAAGGGCTGTGTCTTTTTGTTGGTACCGGGTACCTGCCGTTTGGGTTTTTTCGGGAAAGCCCAGAAGCACCAGCGTTCAACGCGCCTAAGAAAAGTCAGGACACTGCCCCAACCTCCAAAACGGGACCTGCGAAGAAAAAGGAAGGAAGATGAAAAGCGCGTCGAGTGCAGGCCTGGGCCTGGGCCATTCATCTCTTGGCGACCGCCACAGCGAGGCGTAGTTTCGGGCTGAGCGGTTTTCTCGGGAGCGGTGCTCGTCAAAATGGGATTCGGAACCCTCAAGAAGCGTTTGGCAGTTGTGCAGTGTTCCTTTTCATGTTCATGATGGATTTGTCAGCTGACTGCTACCAACCCCAGGTGCCGGTCTGCACTCATGTCAAAGCAAGCAGCCGTTCTAGCCTTCATCCTGCAGTTGGAAGGTACTTGCCCACGGGTATTGGGAGCCATCACCTTGGTTTTGTGACATCTAACGCGCACAGCATGCACAAGAAAGCTGAAATTTCGCCACCCAACGGCTGCAGATGAGTCAATCTTCTCAATCACTATCTATTTAAACTATTTACTGCCCTGCAAATAAACCAACCTAAAAGAGGGGGGTTCCCCAAAATATGGAGATCCCTCGAATGGTTGGTTGGGTTCCATGTTAATCCGCGCAGCACCCTCCGGTCTCCAGTCGCGCGTCGGGACCTTCGGTCAGGGACCTTCGCCCCTCGGGTGAGATCTACGACGCCCTGCTGGGGGTTCTGCGCCTCAGATGGCGCAGCGCCGTGGACGTCTTGGAGGACGCGGCGCGAAGAAGCGGAAACCAAGGCCCAACCAGAAATGGCTGCGGGTCAAAATGAAACCAGGAATTGGACCGCAGCTTTTAGTCCATGTTTCCTCTTACAAGGGTTCCATTTTTGGGTGCCTATGTTTGACCCACAGCCAAATAGAAGCGGATATCCATGAACTTTGCCAGGATGGGACGACCTTACCAGGTTCTGATTTCGCCAAACATGCGCAGGTGAGGCCCGGACCTTGGGTTCTGTTGGATGCCCAAGCCCTCGCCTTGGCGCTGGCGATGGGTTTGCGTGTCAACCCGGCCAAAGTGACATGCGCCTTTGCACGACTCCAGTTCGTGAACTTGTGGTGGCTTTGTGGGTTGAGGCCTTTGGGGCCCTTGAATCGGTCAGTGCAAGCATGACCCATTCTCCGAGTCCGATGCTAGACGCGACAGGAGATGCCTCGACGCAGGATCGCTTGGTCCGTTTTTTCCTGCAGCAGACACTTGGCCCAGACTTGATTGGTGGCATGTTTGGATACCTGTGTGCGTGGCTTTAGAAAGCAATTCCTACCGTGAGCATCCCCAACTGGAGGCTGCCACGTGCTTAGTTCAAAGGCCTGCTCTTGTTTTTTGTTATGCCCAAGGTGTTTGCGATCGACGGACTTTAGGTAGAATCGCACACCGACTCAATCCTCGTCGCCAAGACAGGCCAATCCAAACTACTAGCGTACCAATGCAAACCAATCGAAACCGGCGATCTACGCAACCAACCTAAATCAGTAGCAAACCAAGCCCAGCGATTTCAATCAAAGATTTGGATAGGCCAATGCTGGCCGATGGTTCATGTTGAGAAGGCAGCAATGGCATTTGCATGCAACGGCACGCGACCACGGGCACAACATCGTCGTTGCTGTTGTTTGGTCTGAGTGCATTGAGATGCATTGAGGGCATATAGTTGAGCGTCCCTTGGAATGGTTTGTGCAAGTTGCCGCAGGCTGGGCCTAGCATTTGCTGTCGACCCTTCGATCTGAAACCGTTTCACTGAAACCCGTTTCACTGAATTCCGTTTCACTGAATTGTTCACTTTGTGCAAAGTCCACTTGGGGCGGGCAGCCACGATCTCACACAAGACCCATGGGGCCTGACAGGTTGGAGGCGTACGTAGTAGGTTTGGGTATTGGAACTTGTCAGGTCCCTAAGCCATGATATCCTAAACTGGTTCACGTACATCCGCGATACATCGAACATCAAGGCGCGTGCCGGGTGCCGCTTGCTTCCGAGGATGCCTGAGTGCTTGCGCCGCGGGGGGTGACCGCCTGGAGGCGCTTCCGCCTTGTCGGATTCGACTTGCAATTGGCCTGGGGAATTCTTTGGCCCTTCCTTTTGAGAGAAACGCTTCGACATGTCAACCGGGCTGGTGAGTGCATGCTTGTGCAACACAACCACAGAGCTTCTATTGAGTCGTGTCTTGTGGCGGTCGTTTTTGCAGAACATGATGCCTCAACTTCATGTGTGACCAACCTGTTTTGGCATCAGTCTCCTGTCCTTTGTTTCCCTCACTTGGTTGGGTTTTGTGTTTGCCTGCTTCTTGCTGTTCTGGTATATCGGTGTATCTGTTTAGTTGTCCTTGCCGGCTGGTTTGGCATATGGGGTTGTTTCTCAACATGGGAATCGGTCCCCTATGGCAAAAGTTTCCTTGTTGGCTTTTCTTGAAATACCAAGCAACATGGGGTCCACACGCCACTGGAGAAACCCCCAATATGGGCCATCGTTTTTTGAGGGAAACCTTTGGGCTGCTTTTAAAGGGACATCAACACGAAACTAATCATTTTGGAGGGTTCCTATTTAAAGACCCTAAAACAAATATTTCAAATAGATTCCCTTTCAATCCAACAGGGGACAACCAACAATATTCCTTTCAGCATAGTCATCTATTGCCAAGTGGTTGTGTCTTTCTTTGAGGGTACCCGTGGTACCCCGTTTTCTGAAACGCTGATGGAGTAAGACACCACATGAGCTACAGCTTTCAGCACAGAAAGTGTTTGCTTGGCCAAGTTGCGAGGCCAAAGGTGCCTTCGAGGTCTCCACCTGGCCCTTCGCCCTGGGCTTCCTTGGGGAGGCGGGTCTGGGCTCGTCCGTTTTGGAGTCGTCGCCTAAGTGGTTGAGATCACAAACACAGGCGGCGTTGGAGAACGAGGTCAACGAGTCAAATCTGGTTCAGGGTTACAGAACGAAGTGGGAACTCTCGCCCATTCCACCATGTAGCCAAATAACTACTGTAGCTCATGGTGGAGGTGTTTCAGAAAACGGTGTACCATGGGTACCCTCAAAGAAAGACACACCCACTTGGCAATATTGTGCTGAAAGGAATATGTTGTGTTTTTTCCCCCGCAACTCCTAAGCATCCTTGTGACAAACTGACACAGCACGAGGGGCATTTGCCCTTTGCTTCCCTAGTTTGGCCATTGAAGAAGGAAAACGTGTCATTGTGACTGACCAGGGGAGACAGGTTTCATTTAAGTTGCAATTCAAATCTTGTTTCCTGTTGGCTCCCTTTCAGCCGTCGCCCGAGTTTTGCCCGTCGTTTTGTGTCGGGTTTTGTCGCCCGTTTGGTGTTCTCACTCGTCGCCTTCATCGATGTGAGCCTTTGTCTTGCCTTGCCGTTGCCTTTGTTGCTTACGGCCACCCCTCCCTCTGGAGCCCGGACGTTGGGCCAGTCAGGCATTGGGAAAGACTGTTCTGGTCATTGTTGGCACTGCTGGCTAGCCTTGAACTTCCTGCCGGGAGTGTGAAAGAAGCTGCACTTGTCAGTACAACATACCGAGACAACTATGTGTTTGGCTCTGAGTCTTGGGCATTCAGCCGCGTCAGCGCAGCCAGTTGTGCCAAAAGGTTCAGAGCTTCTCAAAAATCCGTTTCGGTCGGAAAGGCAGCAAACCAGGGCTATCGACACATCTGGTGAAGGTGTTGTCAGTTCAGCCACAGGTGGACTCCTGAGTCGCAGAACCTCTGAGAAATCCAACTGCTTTCAGCTTGCAGCGGTTGAGACACCTCAACTGTACCCACTTCGTTTCGACAGGCGCGGGAGGTCGGCTTGGAGGTGGATGCCGCCATGTGCAACCCTGCGCCGGAAGCCCAATTCGATCCGCCCGGCGCTTCTCGAACAGTTGCTAAGTCGGGTGCCTTGGAGCATGTTTTTTTTTGAGGTGAAGGGTACCCTTGTTTGGGTTGGTTCAAAAAGAAACCAAAAGTCATTGTGAGGTCTCCGAACATTTTGACGTACCCAAAGGGATAGCCCACATGGAAGGCGTGGTTGTTCCTCTTTGCCCGGCCGAGCAACTCAAACCAGGCATGCCAGCGTCCAAGGAGCGGCCGGCTTTGTTCTTTCCGGGTTGAAAAGGAAACCAATTCGCGAAGACAAACGGAGCGAGCCGGAGGTGAGGGCTGCCAGTAATCGTGCTTTGCTCCATCGCATGAGAAAAGACAGCAATGGCCACCGAAGTTTACTCAGAGTTCTGATTAAATGTCGTTTGTTCAAAGGTCAATGCCTAGATGAGACTGCGCGATGTCGTGCGAACCGCTCAACAGGCACCAAGCGAGCAAAGGAGCAGTGAACAGTGATTTCCGTCCGGGATAGAGATGTAATATGTGTTACAAGTTACATGGTTGAATCTAAGCAAACACTAGAGTACGTATCAATAACGAGGGCCTGACTCCAAACTGCGTGCTATGGCTCTATCTTCGGTACTTGTTGCAACCACTTGGATCGAGACAATCCTAGGTTATACCCTCCCAGTTGCAGGGGGGCCTACAGTTTGTAAGCGGCAAGAAGTCTGAGATGTAAACGTAGCATTTGAGTATAGAGCCATCTGTCTGATGAGTCTGCACGAACCTCTGGGGTGAGGTACTCCTGGTACTTCGCTATGTCATGTCGCACAGAAGTTGGGGTCACGACTGTCTTTGAGGGGTACCAGCTCCTACCTCGGTCTGTTTGCTTCCCCAGATCAGGTTGGGTTTCGCATCTGAGGATCCGATGCTTGTCGCAGTGGAGGAAGGCTCAGCTGCTGCTTCAACGCCCGGACCTCGGCGGCGGCCGAAGCCCGAAGCAACTCGAGTCGCTAGCGCTCCGGTGCTCCGCCGGGGTTTGCTGGCGGAGAAGGCAGATCCAAGGAACGCCCCTTTCATATTGAAGGGACTGCCTGTCGCTAATCGCCGCGAATATGACAAAGGCATGTTTGATGAAGAGTTGTTGTGTCTTCTACAGGGGCCGGTGCACTCCTGGTTTCTGGTCTGTGGAGTTGCAGTGGGATAAAGAAACAGCTGACGTTTGTTTTCGTATGAGGCTTGTGAAGATTTGCTTGACCAAGGCATGAGCCTCGATGGTCCGCAGCCCACTGAGAAAACTCTGGACAGCATTGCCTCGGTCTACGCCAAGCGACAGTGGCAGCAGGCAGGAGCTCACAAGAAGTGCACCCATTGCCCCGCCTGTATGTATCGTCTGGAATTTCAGCCTATTGTCTTCCCCAAAATCAGCTCCCCTTGTGGTTTGTTTTGCTTTTTGGGGGTCCCCGTTGTTTTCCACTCACCAGGCGAAATATATATATATATATATATATATATATATATATATATTTGCTGGGGTTTCAATTCCGGCCAAGTCATAATGGTGGGTGTCAGTCCAGACAAGAAGGCTCGCAATGTCAGGAGGAAGCATGATGAACTTCGACGTGGCTTCAACAGTTACTCTATGTGAGCCAAGACACCTCATTGATGTAGTGCAAATATTATATATATATATATACACATAATATGCGTGCACATGTATGCGTTGTATGGGTACCATTTCTCATGATCCGTTCAACGCGTGCAGTTTGGCTTGCAGTTTTGTGAGATGCCATGGTTGGCCTGCCGCGTTGCCACGAAGCAGAAACGCGGAAAGCCACCATGCAACAACTCCAGTGACTTTTCCGTTTCTCTAACACCTTCTTCCGGCTTCCTCCATCTCTGCCCATGTTCTGGTGGCAAGTTCTTGACGGACCGAGCCGCGGCGAGTACCCCGACTAACAACGGAGACATGACATCTGGAATTTGACTGGAAGTGTGTCCGACATCCGTTTTGCAGTACCCTTGTTGGGTTTCTTGCGTCAATGTTCTGCCTAGTATATCGCGAACCGATTCTGGCGTCGAACGAGCTCCTCATGAAGGTTATTTACATGCAGATCCCGTATTTCAAGTGTTGGAATTGTAAACATGTGCAACATCTTTCGACTGGGCTGTTCACAGGTAATCCTGAATCCTTACCTTATGCAAGGGGTCCCCTTTGTAGTAGCTTCCTTATAGGGATAATGATTAGGATTGGCCAACCCTCCATGTTGAACAGTTAGAGGGAAACCTTGCGCCAGGCGCTGAGACTTTTTGAGGAAGCCTTGCAGCTGCGCTTTGGAGTCAACGGGGTCGCCAATTCCATTCTGCAGACCTTGCAGGCTGGAAATGCATGGAAATGCTGCGATTTCACGTCAGCACAACTAGGCTGCACCAAGTTCTACCCCAAGTTGCTTCGAGTCAAGCCCTCCAAAAGATTGGCCCATGATTTTTGTTTGATGGCGCACTTGTTCCCCTGCCTGCGAGGACTGAACAACATACGGGTGCTGGGTAACTTTGTTCTTGGTAGTAGCTTGTGCAGTTCCCCACCTTCAAACTACCTGCTTGACAAGCTGGGAAGATGGTCCAAACATGTTTCCGGTTCCGGTTGTTTTGCTTCGGAGAAATCTGGTTCATTGGAAGTCTTGTCATTTGCCCCTTCCTTCAATCAACCCACGCAGCAAATGTCTGGGACCCTAACAGCATCGGCCCAGTCCATCGGCCTGCCAACTTTGCCTGTATGGTGTTCGAGGGGGAAACCCCAACTTCAGCGTGCTGAAAAAGGCGCCGGTTTGTCCAACTGGGCAACTGGCAGCCTGGTTGACGAATTCTTGATTGCACCCGCCTTATTTTTCACATGTGCTGAACATGACTGGTGCAACTTGCCGGTCTGTTTTCACACTGAGCTTCCTCTACATGGGATTTGCACAGCTAAGAGCTTGGAGGACGGTGATGCATATTTGGGAGTGAACGTTTTGAGGGTACCCTCTTAAAGGTTGGTTTAACGGGGGAACCAAAAGGGAAACCACTTTGAAGGTCCCCCTATTTTGACACTGGCAGAGAGAGTGTCCTTGGCGAACACTGCCTGTCAACAACCAAAAACGCCGCCAGATGCAGCATCACTGGCAGCTGGCGGTGGTGGTCATTGAGCATTTCCTGAAGGCTTCCGTGCGCTTCTTTGAAGGTAAGCCCAAATTGAGTCACAGAGTGGAGGTTGACTAAAGTTCCATGTTTGGGTTTTGCTTGAATTGGAGATCTCCCCCAGGTTGGTTGGGCCTTGCCTTTCTGCGGATGGAATTGAAGGGAATAAGGAGAACAAATGTTTGGACGACCCCTTTTGCTTATAGCCCGCGCAGCTTGAAGGTTGCATGGGGGCTGTCCTCATTAGACGGCAACTCAATTTTGGAATGCTTGCAGGCGGCTCCCTGCGCGTGGAGGCAGCTGTCTGGGACTGTCTGGTTGCTGGGAGCTTGCCTTTATGGTTCCTTTGGCACCATGCTCCCGCTTTTGGTGCACTCGCAGCCCATCTTGGGAAACAGATTGCACTCCATCGCCGCTTTTCTTGTATGGGCCATGGGTGTGTCCGGTGAGCGTACCTTCGGGTGTAAAAGGGAAACCAAAGGAAACTTACCATAGGTCCCCTGTTTCAAGGCACCCTGCGAACATTAGAATTATGTTTGAGTCGGTTCGTTCTAAAGTGGCCTGAAACTTGGCAACCGCCTTTCCGCCACGATCCAAGACGTGAGGCCGTCATCTTCCTTTTGCACGAATGCCATGCTTGCCTGCCACTTGGCTTCAATCATGCCAGCACTGCTAGCACTGCTACTTGTAGCTTCTAGCTTGGACCCCCCCTGATCTATGGAGGTAGGCTCCTGCCCCCGGTGTGTACCTAATATGTGACGTCAAACTTCTTTTTACCCCCATGTGAATGTACCTGCCCCCTGAGCCCTGGTGGCCCTTTTTGAGGCTCCCAATTGATTTATCAAAAGGGGGCGAATGATAGCTCGTTAGCTTCAGGTCTGATTTGGGTGACTCTTTGTGAGGGCACCCTTTTTGGGCTGTTTCATAAGAGAAACCAAAAGGAAACCCTCCATTTTAGGCTTGCATTTGCTTAAGAGTATCCTTTGGTTTCCCTTGTTGGTTGTAAAGGGAATCTATCACTGGAAAGATGTTCGTATTTTTTCCAGAGGGACGTAAACCCGCCAATGAATGCATGAAAAAAGGCCACCGCGTCACGGAATTGCGGCTCAAGTCTCAGGTTCCAAAGCAAAATGCTGGGACCGGGCCTTGCAGCTGTATGACCTGCAGAGGCGCGGGTTCGCAGGCCGAACGCCGAATGCAGTGTCACTGGAAAGTCCGAACAGGCAACTCATGGGAATTTGAGATATATGGGTGTGTCTTTTGAGGGTACTAGTATCTTGTTTCTGTGGTGTGCAAGGGAAACCAAAAGGACAACCACCCATTTTGGGGGTCCCAAAGATTATCTTCACTTACATACAGTTAAAAGTAGATGGCGTGGCACAATTCCCTCTTTTTAGTTTAGCCATCCCCTTTGCTGACCCGTGTAACAGGAGTTGTGCCGTGTGCTTCAGTCTGGTGTACTGTTCTTGGCAGGTGGTATACTTGTTCATTGTTGGTGGAAAGAAGCAGCATTTTTGTTGCTGATATACACACCGAGTGCTGGAATATTGCGTTGCATCCCCCATATCCTCTTGCAGGGCTGGTTGAACATGCAGCTACACGCCCACTTTTCCGGGTTCTGGACGGTTGAATTGTGAGGAGCATGTTTATGTCCTCTCATTGAAAGGGGGCAGGGACAAAAGGCAACTTCCGTATCATTTGTGCAACGGTGAAAGACGGGAGGGGCCCGTGCCCCTCTTGGGAGGGTTTTATGTTTGAAGGGACCTAAGAGGTTCACAACTTAGCTTTGACAGCTGCTATGTACACATACAAGGGCCTATTGAACTACCACTAGCATTCCCCTGCAATCACGACTGAAATATTGCTTTAACGTATGTCACAGCCCAATTCTAATTATTTCGGCCCCATTCCTTTCCAGTGAAACAAACAGGATCTCCAATTACAACCTTTAGGCTCTCTCCACTGGCATTGTCTGTGAGATTTCCCTTGAGGCGTGCTGGTTTGCAGCTGGACATTGGCTGCACAACGATGGCCGGGGCCCCGCGTCCTTTCCAACATTTCTGGTCGGAAACCAAATCGTGCCTTTGAGTGTGAGGTCTTCTCTGTACCAAAGCCGTGCTGTTGGAGCATTCTGAGATGGGCCTGTGAGGCGATACGAGCTTGCCAGCTGGCAGGACTTTGGAAGCAGGCGCGAGTTGAACACTTGAAAGACGTGGCCTCGTTTCAACTGGGGTCTCCAAAACTATGTTCTGTTGGGGTATGTTTTGCCTCAGATGTGGGCCACGTCACAGGATTCGGCATCCCCAATGACTTGCTTCCTTTCGACCTGCTTACCACCATCGGCCAGCGGAAGTCCCACTTGTTGGGCACCCTTCCAGGTTTGATAGACACGTGCTAGTGAACCGGTTCGGAGCCTGGCTGTTTCAGGCTGGCATCTCCTTTTCCTCCTTGTAGCAGGAGACCCACGCGTTGCTGAACTTAGGTTTTGGACACTGGATCTTAAGTTGCTGTCGGATGTCACGGGTTCGCAGGCCTTGACGTTCAGAGAGGACGCAAAGTTTCGAGGCGCGACATTTGTCGGTATTCGGGTGTCACAAGCGTCGACACAGCCAGCATGAGAAGTTGGCATATCGCAAGCCTGTGACACAGGTACCCTCAGCAGGTCTGTGGAAGGTTCATGCCACATGTGTAGGCTTAAGCTCTTGAGAAGTGTGTGCACACGTATCCAGACAGCCCGTCCTCTCCTTTCTACTGAAACTTTGACTGAGGTTTAATGTTTGTCATCATAAAATCGAACCATCTCAATTTACACACACACAGCGGATGGCACCAAGGGACCTGGGTAAGGCTTGCTTCAAACAAATACGAAGGCTTGGTTCGACTGGACGAATCTTTGGGTCAAGTCGTCAACGTTGCCCGTCAAGCCAGGCCTGGTCCCAAATGTGAAGACCTGGCATGGTTTGGTGGGCCTGGGATGTTGGCAGCCCGGGAGCCCAACCAGAGCGAGCCATCGGCATCATCTCAGATGCCGCAGGGCAAACTGTCGAACACGAGTGTGCTTTATGTGGAGGCGACGGTGTGTTTGGACATGGTAGATCCAGACATACCCGCTCCGCATCTTATAATCGGATCAGGATTAACGCACCTTTTTTCCTGAAAGTCAATTCGGAGACCATGGAAGATCTGGAAAATATATTCTCGGAGTTGCACCTGCCCTGTCTGGGCTGACATTGGTTCAGCGTCACCGTTTGGGAGGGTAAGAAGAGAAGGTTCCTCAAGTGTGCCGCAAGAAATAAGGGGGCCACCAACCAAATGTCAAGCAGCGACGGGGATAGAACAAGAGAGTCCGGCCAGGAAGAAGCTATTTCTTCAGTGTTTCCACGTTTGCGAGTTGCAGTCGGTGAGATTTGTGCAGTGACAAGCTAAAATGTCCTTGGCAGTTCCTTTCGTGCGCACGCCCGGCCCAGCATTAGGCTGTCGGCCACTTTGCTGGAGGTGGGCATGCGCAACATGTAGCCAGGCCTAGGTGTCCTTTTGGTAGAATAGATGGCCCCGGCCTTATGGAATAAAACCATTCTGAACCAGTGGAACCAAAAAGGACCCGTAAGGGACACCTAAGGGACACCTAAAGGACACCTAAAAGCGAACAGCAAGGTCCCCCTGCAACCGACCTTGGGGTGTCACAAGCTCCCCAAAACCTCCAGCGGGTGTTGTTTCATCTACTTGGCTTGGAAATCGAAATTTCCGGAAACCTCGGCATCTCAGAAGGAAAAAAGGTATGGCTCAGCGACACTGAGCACCAAGACAAGCCTTTCCATCAAATATTTTTTCCCACCCTTTCAGAGACCGGGCAGGCCGGAGCTGCTAGAACATCTATTTTGCGTGGCTGTGTCAGCACGCGAGTTTGGCCTTTTTGGACCCATGTCATGTATAGCATTCATGGTTATGTTATTATGATAAATATGGAACATTGGTTCTATAGTAGTATACGTATAGTATACGTATAGTGGTTTATGTTAAAGCTGTCGCCGTTTATGTTTGTGTGTGTGTGTGCGTCGGCTCTGAGCTGGCAAAGCACGCCAGACTTGAGAAATGACAAGTTCCCACCCGGTGTGTTCTTGTCTGTTGATCCCTTGATACAGAAAGAAACCTGTTTGTTCACTCATCTTTCGGAGGAAACCATTGCAGTCTGCTGTTGAATAGGAAGCATCTATGGGCGTGTTTGCATGTGTTTGCCGTGCCGATGTACACACGCACCAGGCACCGGAAGCCCTCACAGTAGTTCCGCCAGAGATTTGGGCATAGAAAAGCTTGTCAAGGATCAAGCCCCTTTTTGTATTTCAATGGGACCCACAAAGGCCACAAGTTGAACTCCAGCACGTTCAAAAGCGCGAGGATGAGCTCTGTGACTCGGAGTTCCGCGCTGTAGCGCCTTGGCTAGGCCGTGGACTGGGTCCCTAAAAGGGTCGTTCATACAGGCCCTGAAGGCAATGAGCCCGACTCAGATTGGTTTTCTTGGTTTTCTTGGGGGGGAGGGGGGAGGGGGGCGCGGATTCACGACAAGGGAAGGCACAGAATGCTTGTTCAGCAGGTTGTTCAGAGTCTGGAATGGGCACCTGTGCTGATCAAGCCCTGGTTTAGACGGATACGCCGCCTTCTTTCGTTGCGATTCATTGCGCTTGGAGTTGAACTGTAGTTGTCATGCTCGGATCGGAGGTACAACACGTGGGGGTTCACACAACCCTCATCCTTTCTGCAGTTGGCACGACATGAAAACGTTGGTTACTGTTTGGGGCATGAACGCACAGATTTGGCGAGCCCTGGGCCCCTGTAGGGCAGGGGATTACGAAGCCCCTGAAAGGGGTGCCCGAGGAATGCACCTGACTGGTTTCGCGAAGGGACTTGCTATCGCTCAGTGGGTGCTTGTCGGGTAGCAAGAAGTTGAGACACTGTTTGGTTGATAAGGCATGTTGGCATGATAGCAAGGCACTAGGCAGACTAGATGTTCAATTCAGCTAGCACCACCGAGGCAGCTGATGCGGTGCGAGCAGGTGGGCCACTGTGCTTGCCAAGACTTGCTTTGGGAATCATTGACGAAGAGCTGACTCGGCAAACGATTACGGACAGCTAATAAGGGCTTGATAAGGGCTTGATAAGGGCTTATTTGGGCTCCCTCCCCCCTCCATCCCCCCCAGGCCCCTTGAGCAGCCCATGTTTTGATCCAGACTGATGTGTGTCTAGACTGATCTCGCGCGCGTGGCCGCTGTGCCTGCCAGCTTGTAGACCCTGCTGCGCTTTGTACCCCCTGGTTTTGTGGTTTCAAATGGAAACCAAAACTCAAACCGAAGGTCATCTTGGGAGGTCCTTCCCACAGCTGGAAAAGCCGCAACCGGTCCCACCAGATCCGGTCCCAAATCGGTCACACGGGCGAGGCTGGATGGAAAGCCTCAGCCGCCTGGAGGATGTGCTACCAGAAAAGGAGTTGGATGGGTGCTCATGTTTGGTTTTGAAGGGAAACCAAGGGGAACACCACCTTTTGGGCCTGCCAGTGCTAAAAAGACACTGCCAGATGGACATCAGACGTTCATTGTGCATTGGGCCTGTTGGTGCTATCGAAGTGTATAGCTGGGCGCTAAAGAATCAATTACATGGACCATACTTGTTTTTGTCCCCAAGTCAAAAGGGGCTGGGTATGTAGTGTTTTTTCCAGACCCCCCATTTGAGATCCAGAGGTCCTTGTTACTTGTTCCCAACTTTCAAAGTTTGGAGATTGAAGCGGCCATAGCTTGCCGAACCGTCGCGGCCGAGAACGAGATGGTCAGTATTCATTACATGTCATTGCCATCTATAGGACAAGGCATGTAGAAAGGAAACATGTTCATGTCATGGGTCACCTGCTAAAATGACCATGGCTGAACCACCTAAGGGGTTTGAAGGGGAATGTTTCCCGGCTGGAGCGCCACATTTCAAAGGTTTGATTGCAAAAGTTGTGCCAGCAAATGGCTCTGTGTGTTTTTTGGAGGGTACCCTTTTTGGTGGTGGTGGTGGTGGTGGTGGTGGTGGTGGTGGTGGTGGTGGTGGTGGTGGTGGTGTAAAGCCATTTTGCAATTCAATTCGATACCCAAATGTTGCAAAAAATGTCATCCAGTTCCAGCGAGACTTGACTTAGTTCCTCAGGCTAGAAATCGCTGGATTTTGTGGCCATGAACCACTAGATGAGCAGCGGTGTTTAATCAAATGAAAGGCACGCAAGTAGTGTATAGGCTTCGAACCACCAGGAAAAAAAACACTTCTCAGATGTATTTGCTCGAAAAGTACTGCCAGCTGACGAGGACTCGCGGTGTTTTTTCTACAGGGGACCTATCCATTTGCCCCACGTCCTCATAGGGGAGCATGGTGCGTTTGTTTTCAGGCCCGGTTCCCCTTTTTCGTGTTTTGAAAGGAAAACCAATGGAAAGCCGTTGCGCCATTTTGTTGTCTTTTCCATTAGGCAGATCAGACGCTATGTGAAATTTGTTGCCGGGGGTGTAGCAGCCCGGGCCACGTCTCTGTGAGATGGCCCCGCCATGGCGCCTTTCGGAGATGTGGCCATGCGGAAGATGGAGTCCATGTGCCGTCCCTCGGAGAGAGAGCCTTTGGATGGCGGTTTGACCGTAGATTTGACGTTTGAGTGGAATTACTTGTGGGGTAGTTTACAAAAAACAACAACCAAAAAAAAACGCCAGGACACCTGCTGGAAGGCAAGGCGTTCATGAACTTAGCTTCTAAGTAATTTCCCGGCTTCATGCTTCACCCTGATCTTGCTTTCAATCTATTTCCACATGCCAGATCTTACCATGCAAACAACAGCGCATGAGAACAGGATTCTCCCTCAGGCACAATTGATCCTGACACACGAGCGTTGCTTAGGTTTGGAGAACCGCAGCCGAGCGGCGCTTTTGTCCCAGATCGTGCGTGTGCGCTATGAGGCTCTCCGCTCTGGCAACGTCCTGCGAGGACTGTTTTTTCTTGGATTCCAACGCAGGACCCACTTGCGAATGTCCCAAGAACACGAGGGGAGACGTGTACGTTGAGTTGTTTCTTTCTCCAGACCCTTTTTACCGCCCAGGTTCGAACAAGGTTCCTTTAACAGCCATCCACCAGCATTGTTGCGAGTCATTGCACTAGTGACCAAACTGCAACGGTTCAGACTTCCGCGCGATGAGGTTTTACTCCAGTGGGAGATGGGAGCTTACCCCCAACGCACCAGCCCCTGGGAGCGCAAAGGTCAGCGGCGTGATGCGCCAATGGATGGACATGAGCTGGCCACGCGAATTAGCAGCAATAATTGGCTCAGGGTCTTTGGGTTGAGAACACTGCGTGAGTGAACCTTGGGATTGCTTTCTTTGGACACCCGACCTTGGGATTCCCTGTTTGGACGCCAAGTGAATAGTTTTCCACTTACTCGGCTACTCCACTCAACCAGCAAATCATTCAAGCCTTTCCAACTGTTTGCCTACGGGTAAAGACGATGTCAGGTCAAACCCACCAATCTGGCTGAGATGGGCTGGGTGTTGGCTGAATGGTCACAAGGGCGCAGCCAGTATTCCTACGAACCAGCCCTACCGCCAGATCTCTCCTGCTGTTTGGGCATAAACCTCAAACGCTCCAAATCGAGTGGAGGCTCTTTGGGGGGAGGTCGTTTTGTGGTTTCGCGGCAAGGCGACCGGTTAAGTCGGGCGCGTTCACGTGCCGCCATCTGGCCGGAGGAAAAGCATGCGCTTGCGACGCCCGCCAGGCGGCCAGGGAATGGCGAGCTGGCGCCATCGGAAAGCTTTTCTCCTCCAGGCGCCCGGTGCGCGCACGGGGAGCTAAGCGGGATGGCCGCTGACGCCTCAAGCTGGTATGAGAGTAGCAACCATGGTTGATTTGGGTTGCCTTGGGTCAAAACACACAATCCACATGTACCCCTATGCGAGTCTTGATGGGCAATGAGGCCTCGCGCGCCACAGTGGCTTTTGACCATCAACAAGTGCCACAGAACTTCTTGTTGACATGTGTCTCAGACGCGCACCAATAGCAACGTAGGTCTTTGTCACGATCGCCTGGTGTTGTTGACGCGGTTGTGCCTGCAAAGAGTGAAATGACACCATCCATTGATTCTGCCGAAGGGAACTGAGGCATGTGTACCAGGGAGTGCTGTGTTTGTGTGCCACCTGTTTTTGGACAGGGTGTCACTTGAACTTCCTTGACGTTGAATGGTTTCTCATACGGCAACTTCCTGCAAAATAGCGGTCGGGAGCATGAAAGAAGCCACTGGGGCTCTAGGAGTGAACCATGTTGGAGCACGTCTTTTTTTGAGGGAACGCCCTTTTGGTTGGCTTTAAGGGCAAGCCAAAAGGAACACCATGTTTTTGGGTTATGTACTGTGTTTGTATGTTGATCCTCCAAAGCATACAAGGGTTATACACTTCTGACGTGTGTGTTTCATTTGGACGAACATAGTTATTACCCTTCCTTTCCGCGCTGTGTGGCGGCTTGGCCCTTGCCTGCTCATTTGACTCTGGCAATTTGCCCCCCGCTGTTGGATGAAACAGGTCACAGCTTTGTGTTTGCCTCAACTTGTTTGCAGCGGTTTGCCCTTTGAGGTTGAGGTTTGTTCTGAGCTGGTCCTCTGTCCGATGGGGGATCACCTGAGGGACCTGCAATGATCGGAGCTGTCAATCCGGTGTCACAATTGTATGCTTTGTTTCGAGGGGCAACATGGCAACCGATCATTGGGGACTTGATTTCGACATATTGATGCAGTTCTCCCTTCATGAGAGCAGGTGGAGGACGTGCCAATCCTTGGACAGAAGCAGGGCTTTGGCCAAGAAAACCTTGGAGAATTGAGCCTTCATGAACAGGCATATGTTGCTGTCATGATTCCATTTCACAGAGGCCGTACATGAAGTAGGCCACTGCAGGATCCCTTTAGATGGTTGGTATGTTGATTTCTTGGTATGCACCAAGGGGATGGTGGCTTTCACAGCCAAACAGGGCACACCATTCCCCACCCGAAGGTCGTCTCCCTCTCGAACGCCGCTGAAGGCTTTCTGGGGCCTCGTTTGGGTCGGGAAAGCGGTCCGCGTGTTGTTGAGTCTACTCAAGTGAATGGCAGCACTCAGCTGGCTTGATCTAATGTGTCATCACTTGTTACACTTGTTGGTCAGAAAAAAAAGAGTGTGGGTAGCAGCTCGTGTTAGGCGCAATGTCACATGGACGAGAGTCATCATGCTTGCTCCTACCAGTAGCGAGTGGGAACCGTCCAGCACCTGCTTTGTCCGAGAGGCGGCTGGCGTAAATGCATCGCGTTTATTGTACCGTAGTTGGCGAAGCAGATTCTGAATTGGTGTCAAGCCACGGATTTTACGTTTCACGCGGATCCTGTAGGTGTATGTGTGTCATCCCAGATTTAGATTGCAGTGCTTCCCACTCGGGCCATTTGTTGGGGAGGCCTAGTATTTCTGCAAGCCCCATGTTTGTTTGGCTCTTGGAGCCGCATGCCCTCTGCAGCCATATCATTGACATAATTTGCTGAACGTCACGATGTAATGGGGTTGATAAGCATGTTCATCATATTGAGCATTGCGTAAACATGGAAATTCATACAGGTTGAGATGAATGGAGTTGCCAAACATTCGGTTCCCGCGCAGTTTTGATGCCCAGGTGCTTTCCTCGAGGGTCCTGTCGCTCTCTGGGGCTATCTGCTCTGAGACGCAGCTGCAGTTGCTCGGAAGCTGACTCAAAATCCTGACCTTTGGGCTTAGGTTCGGTCCGTGTGGGCAGGATCAAAAGGCCTGTTTTCTCTAGGTGAAATCGGAAAGCGCCCAAAAAGCGAATGCGGATTGGGTGCCGGATGTTTAGAAGTTTTGCAGAGGTCAGTCAGTCCGAGTCCAGGTCTTTACTTTGCCCAAAGCCCCTACTTCCCAATTGGTCAGATAGGTCAGATAAACAATTAGGCCTCTACGAACCTTCCTATGCATGGCAGGCCAAAAAACCAAAAGTCAGTGGCGTCTAAGAAGCCACAGGAGATTCTGCAGGAAGTCCTCATTGGTGGGTCTTTGGAGCATTTCCGGACGGAAAGTCCAGTTGGTGTCCATGTGAGGTTGCAGTGGAGCCTCCGCGGCGGTCTCTCACAGACGGTGGCGGCTCGATTGGGTGGGGGAAATCAGCAGTTTGATGATCTACCACTTGGATGTTCAACCAGCTCGGGGAGAAAAGAGGAAAAACGTGTTTTCTCCAATTCCACTTTGTTCAGCCAACTTAGTGAGCGGATTGTGGTTAGGAAGCCAACCCCTTCCACTTATGTGTAAAACCTAAGTCCGTCATTCCAGTCGCCCAGTGGCACCCGGATTTTTCCTTTTATTTGGGGGGGAGGAGGGTTTCCTTTAAAAGCGACGTGACCAACACAGAAAGGGTGCCAGTTTCCCATGGGACCTGGGCTTAAGGGAGACTTGGGCACGGTTTGGGTTGCGGTTCTGGCTCCGATGCGCCGGTGGAATATAGATAAGGCCTAGACCCATTATTAGACTGGGCTTGCGGGGTACTCAAAATAGCCTATTTCAAAGGTTGTCATGATCAGAAGGTAATTCTGTGTGTGGGTGCGCAAGTATTTAATTCCTTGAATTGCATGGTTTTGTCCTTTGCTGCTCGTCTTTGGAACGAGCACACAATCCAGTTTCCTCCAAAGCCCGTGCGGAGAGCAAAAAACTGAGCAAGGACCCTGCGTTACGTGGGACAGTGTTGGTTTGCGAATGTGTCGATCTTCCTTTGTAGTCATATAGGTCTGTTGGGCACTGAGCAGTGTTGCAGTTTGTTTGCAGTTTGGGTGTGGCTTGAGTTTTGCTTCCATATACCAAGGTGCCAATCTTGCAGTTGGAAGTTAGAGTTGCTTTCATTCCACGGCACTGAACCACGCGTCCAGGCAACTTGCTTGGACTGGCTTTTTGAGGGTACCCTTGTTTAGTGGTTTCAAAGGGAAACGAAATGAACAACCACCAACTGACAGGGTCAAACAAAAAAAGGCGCATCCATTCCATAGGTCATCTCATGGTTAGCACTTGTGCGATCCAACACCAACCGAATCTGTGTCCAGTTGGAATGGCCGTCAGATCATACAAAACAAGTATGTAGCAACCACCTTGGGCCAGCCTGGTGCTGGTCCATGCTTAGTGTTTGGCAGCGAAGGTTGACCATTTTTCTCGAGTTTCATTGAACTTGTTTCAGGGAGTGGGCTTTTTCCGGCCTCTCAAAGGGTAGGCTTGAAGTAGCGAAAGTGGTAAGAGGGATTCTGGTCACGCGACCATTTTTGTAATACTGGTGGCTTCCTTTTCAGTAGTTCCGGGATCAGCCCCATGATATGTGGTTTTCCAGTTTGTTCTCACTCCCCGCCAAGCTGTTTCTTGAAACAAATGTCTTTACATGGTGGACAGCCACTGGGCGAAGTTTTGGCCGAGGATCTGACACTCTTGCGAGGGCTCCTGTCTGCCGTGGAAGTTCAAGGCCGGACCATTGTTTGACAGCTGTTCGATCCTTGGGAGAGGTTCGCGTTGGCACGGTCCTAGGAGGCAATGTGAACATGTTGTGGCATACAGGGAAAAGGTGTCGGCATTTGCCAGCCTTTCGGACCTTATTCTTCCTGATTGGAGTCGGTGGTTTTTTCTTGAGCTCATGTCGCTGATGTTTGCATCCAGACTTGATGGGCCGATCGGATGGCTCGAGAATGAGACTGGTAGCAAGGCAATATTGTATGGAAGTGGAGACACTCACTTGGCTGTGGGTCAAGGACTAAAGCCTGCGGTCCCCTGGTGCTTTAATTTTGACCCATACCCACTTGTCCGCAAGTAAGTGTTCAATCTTGTGGCGTCTTGCTGTTCGGCTTCTCGTGTTCGGCGAGGGACCTGAAAAACTTTGCTTCTTGAGCTCAGTTGCCCAAAGCCGACCCCCTGATATTGCAACACTTTTAGTAGAGGTCCGAAAAGGGAATAACCTGTTGTTTCTGGGTCCAAACTGGGCAAAATAAAACTTGAGTCAGAAGTGCACTCGGATCTCAGGAATCCTGGATCTCACCCCATCAGAGTTCGACCTCGCAGCTCGACTGGCCGAAGCAATCCTGCGCTTTGCCCGAAGCCTGTGCGTGTGGATATGCGGGTTTGGCACATTTGTTTGGATCGCGAGACTCGAGAGAAGGAGAGATAGAGACGGAGAGAGAGAGAAGTGCTTGGACATTGGAGTAGAGTGATTTGAGGTTCATTTGACGGCAAATCGATGCTGGGGCAGCCAAGGATCGAGCTGACGTCGAGCTGGTGCCCTACTCAAGATCGCTTTTTCGCCAAGACGCCGGGTATCAGTAAGACAGGGGCGTTGCTTGCAGCCATCCCAACAGTCTCAGCGACTGGAGCGAAGGAACCACGTGGTGTCAAAGTCGCGCCCACACACACACACAGAGACGCAGGCACACAGAGACACACAGAGACGCACAGACACATAGACACACATAGACACACATAGACACACGTAGACACACATAGACACACATAGACACACATAGACACACATAGACACACGGACACACAGAGACACACAGACGCACAGAGACACACAGAGACACACACAGAGACACACATAGACACACAGACACACAGAGACACACAGAGACACACAGACTCACAGAGACACACAGACACACAGAGACACACAGACACAAAGAGACACAGAGACACACAGACACAAAGACACAAAGACACACAGACACACAGACACACAGACTCACAGACACACAGACACGCAGACACGCAGACACCCAGACACACAGACACGCAGACACGCAGACACACAGACACACAGACACACAGACACACAGCCACACAGCCACACAGCCACACAGCCACACAGACAGACAGACAGACAGACAGACAGACAGACAGACAGACAGACAGACAGACAGACAGACAGACAGACAGACACACGGACAGACAGACACACGGACAGACTTACACACAGACACACAGACACGCAGACACGCAGACACGCAGACACACAGACACGCAGACACAGACAGACAGACACACACACACACACACACCCACACACCCACACCCGCACCCGCACCCGCACCCACACCCACGCCCACACCCACACCCACACCCACCCACACGCACGCACCCACACGCACACACACACACACACACACACACACACACACGCGCACGCGCGCACACACACACACCCACCCACGCACGCACGCACGCACACACGCACGCACCCACACACACACACACACACACCTGGCTGGCTGGCTGGCTGGCTGGCTGGCTGGCTGGCTGACAGGCAAGCAAGCAAGCAAGCAAGCAAGCAAGCAAGCAAGCAAGAGCAGGGAAAAGCAGCAAGAGAAGCGAACTTAAACTAGCAGCTAGGCAAGTGTGTTTCTTCTTTTACTGACACACACACACACTCTTATATATTCTGTCAGAAGCACGCACACACACACACACACATACAGACCAAAAAGATGTACCATGACAGCATTTTGGCATACAAACACATCATGCAATAGCCGACGGACCCTGTCTTAGGTGCACAGACACAATTGCAGACTTGTACACAAAAAAGCCGCGCAAACCGAACACACATGCACCCACGCACGCAGGCACGCGCACAAGCGCAGGCAAAGGGACACACGCGCAAAGGCTCGCGTGTGCACCTGGACATGACACGCACACACACACACGAGAGGTCTGTGCACGGCGTCACACTATCACAATCGCACAATCGTACTTCTTACTAGAGTCTTACACATGCAGTGATGCGGAGTGACGCATATATCACTACAACCATGTGAGACACCCAGAATCAGTTTTGGGTCATAGCGCAGGCAGGCGTGGATTCATGATCACACCCGCAGTCATATTACAATCACACATTCATATAGCAAGGAGAGAGGCAAGCGTGCAAACTCACAGCGCAAATATAGAAGCACATACACAAAATCGCAAAGGTGCACATTTGTACGCTTGTTCACACACACACACACATCCTCGCGCATACAGCCACTGACAGCCAGGCACCGCATACAGACATAGAGAGAAACGCGAAGGGACACGTACATACACCGCCTCTCTCAGAGTGCCCCGCGCACACTCACACACAGAGGCACAGATAAGCCGACGTACAAACGGGCAGACATGTGCTATTTGCATGTGCACACGCACACACATAGGGAGAAAGAGAGAGAGAGAAAGAGAGAGCGACAGAGTCAGCCAAAGATACAGAGAGATTTTGGGAAAAGAAGAGATGAGTGAGTGAGTGAGTGAGTGAGTGAGTGAGTGAGTGAGTGAGTGAGTGAGTGAGTGAGTGAGTGAGTGAGTGAGTGAGTGAGTGAGTGAGTGAGTGGGTGGGTTGGTGGGTGGGTGAGTGGGTGGGTGGGTGGGTGGGAGGGTGGCAGGGCGGGAGGGTGGGAGGGAGGGATAAGAGCGAAGAGCAGTAAGAAGGGCGCAGCCACTGGGAGGATATCACAATGACTTGAACACGCACGAAATTGTCATAGAGGCCTCGTTCTGCCGTTGCCGGACTTCTTGAGGGCGTAGAGCACTGAAACAGACGAGGTGCCAAGGCGCAAACTTCAGTTGCAAGCGCTGCGCCCGGATTGTGATTAAGGTCCCAAAGAGGTGGATCATGCTGGAGAGGGCTGGCAAAGCTTTGCCCGGGTCTCAATGAATGCTAAGATCGTGGTTTGCAATTCCGGAGGCATACCTTATGAGTAAGTGTCAATGTTGTTGAACTATTCCCAAAGTTGTTGAAACATTGGGAAGGACAAGTACATACTTTCTCTGCAAAAATCAGAGGGGCCGAGGATTCTTGTTTGTGAGTAGTGTTTTGATATTACGCTTAACATCAGAGTATAGCTTGCAGTTGCGAGGGACCACGCGCTGGGCGTCCTCAGCTCGTAGGACAAGATTCGTGAGCGTTGTGGTGGAACATGGATTGAGCAATAGCAATGTAAACGGCAATCGCAACAACAATGTCAGATGGTGACGCAACGACAGTTTTATGTGAATTTCCGTTGGGCGGAGCCATGCACTAGATTATATAAGGAGCCCTGGATCATGCCAAGCATATCTGTTTTTGATTCAAATAGCCTTGGCGTGTTGAAAAATATGCTTGATTCACCATGGGCCTGGGGGGGTCCACAACTACTTTCTGGCCTCGACCGGCCGCTTGGTTCAGAAAGGCGACCAAATGTTGGAATACGCCTTCCCCTTCTGCGGAGTGTCGAAGCTGCCACGTCGTTGAAGACTTGTTGGAGTTCAAAGGTTGGTTACGCACAATTCTTTCCATGGAACTTGATGCTGGAGACTTGGAGATTGGATATTCCTTCTGGTGGAGTGCATGACTGGGAGACCAGCAGGTTCTGTTTGTATCCTCGTTCATGAGGTCTGTGCCTTTATGTGGCCAAGTCATTCTGCTCACGGAAGAAGAATTGATGTGAGTGCTAAGCTCCTCCTCGAGCTCGTGATCTTAAAAAAAGGTGTGTTTTCTTGAGCTTTTGGACAACGGATGTTTGATTCTTGCTCTCTCCCATTTGGGTCTCTAAGACGTCCATAAAAGCAATCTGCTTCTCTCCCGTCATCGTTGTTGAATTTGAACAACAGAATGCGTGGGAGACCGGTCATGATGCAATCTGTTACGTCAACGACGTGGTTCCGGGCTCTTCCATTCTTGTGGCGCTTGACACCAGGAATCACGAATCCACTCTCGATAATTGCACTCATGGGCTTGGAATCTGGTGCACCCCCAAGCTCCTTTGTGCTTGCAGCGTGCGCAAGTGATGCGTTTATCTGTTGGTTGGTTCATGGTGTGCAAGTGAACACCCGCCCTGGTTGGGCAAGCACTGATTTGGTGACTGAGCGCATAACGGTGTATAAGAATTGGGGCATTTCAGTATTCTTGCTGCTTTCACGCTGGTTACACGAAAGTGACCACAGACACTCGGTAAGGCAACATGTTCTTGTTTCTTGGTATTTCAGTTTTCGATTGGGCAGAGCAACTTCTTAGCGGCAATGAAGATGCGGCTCACGTTGGGGTACGTGGCCTTGTTCAAATAAACTGCAGTTCCGTATTTGTTCTTGACCCCTTTTGGGCACTGGGCAACTTCTAGTGCCTCCCCCATGATCCAAACTCAAGACACTTTCAGCTTTGCAAGGTATGACCGTGTTTCAGGGCTGATTGTTGTTTGCTTTGCAGGGTGGGTGGCTTGTTCGGTTTTTTGGTTTGTGCGGTGTTTCTTGCGTTTATGTGTTTTTTTGCTTCTGCTTTTCGGATCCTCTGCTTTCCCAGTTCCTCTGCGGCCGGTGGCTTGTCGACTTTTCCGGCTTTTTTGGGGTTTATGCGGTTTTGTGTGTTTTTTGGGTTTTGGCTTTTCGCATCCTCTGCTGTCCCAGTTCCTCTGGTGTGGCTTTGGTTTTTGCAGCCTTTCGTTGGTTCTTGCGGCCTTTGGTAGCATTTTTGGTTTTGGCTTCCCGCATCCTCAGCATCACCAGTTCCTCTCCGGCAAGTGTTTTTGTACATTTTTGTGTTTATATATTTATGTATGTTTATATCTGTATGTGTGCAGTTTTTCAAACATCATTGGGGGGGGGGCCTGCTTGTTTTTGTCGTCATAGGGGGGCTGCCGTGAAAGAGATGAATGCACTCTTTGCTGATCTGCAGTCCATGTATGCGTGTCTGTGTGTATGCACTTCTTCGACGAACATAGGGGGGTGCCCTCCCCCCCCCACCCACCAACCTCCCCCCTTTCCCCGGCTGTTTTTTATTATTAGTATTTTTGCAAAGATTGACGCCCCCTTTGTTGAATGTTTGCTTCTTCGGATCTCATGGGGCGGCTGCCAACTCCCCGCTGGCTTTTAGTGTTTTTTTACACAGATCAACAGGCACCCTTTGCTGAATCATCGCTGCTTTTATCGTTGTGTTTTGCTTAGAGACCCCTCTTCTGGATGGATTTAAATTGGGAAACATGGGGCACCGGTGGAGAACACCACCCTTTGGACCGGGCAAAGGCCTGACAGGCAGCTGCTGGCTTCACACACGCAGGCGCTGCAAGGCCCCGGCTTGGATTATTCGCGTAGCAAGCAGGCTACCACTTGCGACCATGGTAATCTGTGGGGAAAATCGCCGTGGTCAGAAGTGGGACAAGGGGGATTGGCTTCCTTATAATATTGGGTCTGCTTTAATAGCCTCAACAATGCCAACACTCATTCGGGGCCTCTTTAGTGGACAAGGGAGGGGGAGGCCTGGGTTGGACTTGGACTATCTTAATTGTGTATTTGCAGTTCCAAATTTAGTGCTGCCAAGAGTTACTCTCGTTTGCCAAGGCTAAATTGAGTATTGCCAAAGCTTGGTCTCATATTTCCAGTACTTGATGAAGTATTGCCAAGTCCACACGTACCCACAGCCCGTTGCCGTCACCCCCTAATCCTGCACTGCCCCGCAAAACGTGAGTCACAGCCAAAACCAGGATAATTGGAGTGTAGTAGGGGACAATCCCAGCCATAAATGGGTGCGGCCGCCGTTTTCAATTCTTTTACACGGCTCTGGGTAGACCATGAGGAAAACCAGGTTTTGATATGATCACGTGGTTCAAGTATGGCCCCTTTGAGCGCTCGAGTAGCAGAGCTCAAGCAGCTATACCTGACGCGTGATTACCTTTGTCTTCCTCCGAGCACAGCGCCGTTGTACCACCCGGGTGCAGGGAACAGGCAGGGGTTCAAATTTAAGGTCTAGATTAGGGTTGTTCAGGTTTCAGATGTAGAGTTCAGGTTTAGGGTTTAGGTTTGGGCTTCAGATTGAGCATTCTGGTTTCGGTACAGGTTGATTGGTTCCGGGCGCCGGCAACCCTTGGGGGCTAGCATGGGCTGGCCATAAATTTAGTACTGCCAAGACTTGATCTCAGATTTCCGGTACTTAATTTCGTTGTGCTAAGCCTAACATTAGTATTGCCAAGATTTGATCTCAGATTCCCAGTACTGAATTAGTTTAAATTTGCAATTCTAATTTAATATTGCCAAAACTTACTCTCACATTCCCAGATCTCAGACAAGCCGCCCTGCAAAAAACACAGTATACGGCTTTGATCTCAGAATTTCCAACAAAACTTGACATCAAAGCGAACTATAAATAAAGGGTCTATCTACAAATCGAAGAGTTGGGGACGACTTCAAATACAGGAATTTCTAGGTCTAAGGCAGATTAAACGCCCTTTTAAAAGAAAAAGGCTAAGGCATTGATCTTGATTTCACACTCAACCAACAAAAAGCTTAACATGAAAGCGGGCCCCAAGACGGTAAGATTAAAGAGGACCAGAGGCTGCTGTGGGATACCCCCTGGCGTGACGGTTTGGCCTTGTGTTATGAATATATATATATATGTATATATATATATATATGAGATTCCCACATCTAAGCAGGGCCTCAGCGGGAAGGGCCTAGACAAGCCACCAATTGAAAGTAAAAGGCCCAGGCTTTGATTTTGTATTGTTGTTGTGTTTGGGCTCCGGTGTATTTGTTTCCCGCAAAACATGGCTCTATCAAAGCGACCCTCGAAGCAGTCACGGGATTCTGAATTATGAATCACGTTTTCCAAAAGGAATATCCCAACTAACAAAGCGGGTCCGACATGAACAGACCCAAGTTGGTGGAACATCCAAGTACCATCCCGAAGCAACATTGTTTGGGTGGTGCCCTGTTTGCATGCTTGGCACCCTCCCAAAGCAACATGTTCTATCGGGCTCTTTGTCTTTTAGAGGGAACCCAAAGAGACACCACCCGTTTCCTGGTCCCTTGAAAGGATGGAATTCGAGAGGGTTTTATTCAGCTTCCAAGATTGTTTTTGGGAGGGTATATTCCCAAAGTGACCCAAATGGTGGTGGCCCTGGTGGTTGCTGTCAATGTTCTCCGTACAGCGGGTTTCTAGACTTAACCCAAAAAGGAATATGTCGGATGTCTCACCAGATATTAGCTCAAACAATGTCCACAGGAAGTCAACTTTGAGCGTGCAACTCTGTTGTTGACACTCAACTATACTTGGAAACTTATGAATTTGTGTGTGTGCCTGTCTCAAAAGGCACGTGCAAGCATTCTCAGACTTTACTTGGATTCATACCTCATGACTCAGTGCCACTTCAGGCAACGTGTTGACATCGGTGGAAAGCCAGTATATAGTTGGACAAAACGTTGCACGGCAAGTGTCAGCGCCAGCGTTGGAGATGAACGCTTTGCTGCTCACGGCCATGGGACCCCCCCCTGGCTTCCTTTGGGTGTTCGTTTGAAACCACCCCAACCAGGGTACCCCACAAAGAAAACCCACGCCCAGCCGCCCGGCCTCAAGATTTTTGGGCATTGGTCAATCGTGGCTCCCCTTCAGTTTTCAACTTTGTTGTCATTTCTCTTTGGAGGTATAGAGCAGTTGAAGGCAAGGGACCAGTCATACTGTAGATGAAACTGTTGGAGGGAGTTCCTTCCATGCAGCCCTGATTATGTTCTCCAAGGCTTTCCTTTGTGGGTCTCCAAAACATGCAAGTGCGGTTCCGGTGCCCCATCCTGACTATCTTTCCTAAAGCTCATTCTAGATTGCCAAGCTCAACGGCCCCTTGCAATCAGACCCGAGCCAGCGCTGGCATTTTGTACTGCGGCTAGGTCGCTTGCTGCCCTACCTCCGGCAACACCTCGCGTGCCCGGCGTGCCGCAGTCTCAGGGGCAGTTCGGATGGGAGGTGTCCACGCCAGGTGCCAAGCATTTTCCGGGGCAGGTGGTTTTGGGCCTGCCAGAAGCCTTGGAGACTTGCTGGTTGAGAAAATCGTCAGGCCTCCGTTCCCATTCTGTAGCCCAGGTGCTTCCTCCCTGAGTATGAAGGGCCCTAGACTGACTGCGCCAATCAGAAAGTTGCCAGCATCGATTGAATTGTGTTTGCTGAGTTGCACAGAACATGACTGCAATTCATGACGAGGCAGCTTTTCTCTGTGGCTATCCTTTTGCCACTAGGCAAACACCAAACAAGCAAAGCAAATATTAACCTACGGAATCGTCAACAACAAAGGGCCATGGCCACTAAGCCAGCAACGTAAAGTGAGAGCTGAGTGCTTGCAGGTGTGGTTTGCTCTTCCATTCTTCGGCGCTATTCTACGGCGCAGACCTCAGCTTGTTGTATGCTTGTCTCCGGATGGGCCCAGCGTCCTAGGTGGTCCAGATGACGCAAATCCATCTTTGGCAGGCATTGCATTCACAATCTTGACGTGATGCTTTTGACCAACACGTTCTTTCTTGGAGAAGGGTGTTTATCTTCAAAAATCACAGCAGCCAGGGGCACAGAGTTTTACCCAACAAGCGGGCATTGTTTTGCAGGGAAATTAGATTCAAATACCTGGTGTAACGCCTTGTTTCTCGGGAACTCTGTCCAGCATGGAACGACCAGCCATCCATGCAACCAACAACCACAGCGCTTGCCTGCGATGTGTTTGGACGATGCTGGATGAGTGTCTCCCTTAGTCTCCCATCGGTGAACTCATTCTGCTTTCCTATTTCCTCAGGTTTGCAGGCTTCAAGCGGAGCAGAGCTCACACGGTCCTTCTAGAGCCTCACGTGTGCAAAATGGTGTCATTGAGCCTTCGGTGGTGTCCCATATCCAACACATGCTACTCTCATGTTGCTGTTTCGCAGTGGCGAATCTCCCTCGATTCGAATCCGGAGGGAAGCGCTTCCAATCGGGATGGCGCGAGTCCCAGGACCCGTTCCGAGGCGCTCGGGGAAAGGCACCGCGACCCCCCCCACACCGACGGACAGGTGCGGGCGTCCCGGTAAAGGGGTGGCTCACGCTCCCTTCCAAGCTGAACGTTGTTTAGGTGCTAAAGGGGTGTTTAGGTGTTGAATGGGGAGGGATTGTGTTTACTTATCCTATGTTCGTGTTGGTGTTAACGGGAACGTGATATTAAATAACCTGTCCCTAGCATTGGCAGTACTAAATTGAGTATCGGTTGCATTTGACTTAATACTGTTAATGCAGACTTTGGTTTCCCAATTATGCCCTAAAATAAAAAGAAAGCTTGGGTTTGCTTACGTGTCTCCTCTAAATGCCAAACATTGGGGAGGGCAACTTCTATAATAGAGGACCCCAAAAGGGCAACCATCCCTCAACCACCATAGCACCAATCCAAAAACCGCCAGAAGGGAACTGAATGGACAGGCCCCGCTTCTTTTTTACGGGGGACGGGCACATCGGCATTCGGCCATGGGTCGCAGGCCTTTGCGACAGTCGAGGGCCCAGCTGCCGAGCCTCCGGCGTTCCAAAGCACCCTGGTGTAGCCCCAGGGTGACCGGGGGAGTTCCATTTTTTACAGGGACTAGAGAGTTTTTTTTTGTTTTTGAGTTGCACGCTTTTTTGCTGGTTTCAAAGGGAAAGCCAAAGGAAAACCCGCCCCTGAAAAAGGCACACCCATATCCAACTAATTTGTGGGTCCGGCCGCAAGTTCCAAAACTTTTTGGGCTGTAGAGGACATCCCTCCCAAAATGGTCCCTGTGAACAAAGCTGCAGAGGGTGCCCTCAAAAAAACACACCCATCTAAACTTCACTGCTGCCTGAGGTTGTGATTGCACTAAACAGTGCCGGCGTCGACTACCAGGGCGGCCGCATGCTGAGCATAAGCACACATGAGGGGAGCCGTAACCAGCCAGCTGGTGACCGGCACACAAGTGTAAAGTCAAAAGTAGCAGCCCTTTGTTGAGGAGTGCCAAGCAACCGAACAGGAAGCCCAGCTACATGTCAACAAGTTGCCTGGTATGCCTGTCCGGCGATGAATGTGAGGAGCTCCGAGCCGCTGGCAAACTACAGCATCCAGAGAAATGAATTTGGGCTGGCCAATGGTTTCTTTTTGTCTAAAATTGCTGGCAAACGCCATGATTTGGTTTGGTTTTGTATGGAATTCGTTCGGTTATGATCTTCGTTCATGGTTCACCAGGGTCGTACCTGTAGAGCTGAATCGAACGGCCGGAGGCCTCTACCTGGTCTCGGACCCCTCCAGGCAGCTCTCAATTTCTCGGTCGGCGTCAGGGAGGCTGACCCCATGTTCGGTTTTCTATATGTTTTATTGGGTCTCAGTCTTAGGAGATTTAATCCACAACCCCATTCGCTCAGCCATGGCTGGCAGCCCGTAATGATTTAATGGTGCTTCGGAAACCAGATCATGTGTGTTGCCATGGGTGCCGCAATCAAAAGACCCCTTTGCTTGGGGTTGACAGGAACGGTCATCCAACTGATGGTAAGGATCCTTTCTATCCTGACCCAATCGGCCCAACAAGCTGAATTTCGACCATGGCCCATGTGCTGGGGCAAAATATAGTTTAAGCACCACCTTTACAAGGGAAGAATCATCAAAATCAGTGGTTTAAACATCTTTAAACAAACGGGTGGCCCCGGCCCCACCGTCCAGTGTTCTTTCCAGGAACCCGCTTCGATAGGCCGCTGACCGTCTCCCTGGCGGCGGGGGATGCGGTGATCCACCGCTGGGATCTTCAGCATGGCGTCGAGGCTCCAGAAATCGATCCATCGGGGCGGACCACGTGTCACGTTTGTCTCCAACTTCCAGTTGGTTAAGATTGTTTCTTGTTGTAGTTTTTCTCTTCCTGCTGGTTTTACAGGGAATCTATCACCTCGTTTTCAGACGGCTCCCCACCGATGGCCAACTCAAAAGTGAGTTGCATGTGAGCAGACACATTCTATTCGTACCGTGGTGATGCGTCCTTCCAGTCGAACCCACAGGGTAACAAACAGCGAAGCAGACTGCTTCAATGGATTTCGTGGACTCAGCGCAGGGAATTATCCGGGGCTGAGTTGCTTCAAAAGCATCGTTTGCAAGTCGCCCTCGAGTTGCTTTTGAAGTTAACGTTTGATTAAGGTTTGCACATTGCTTTCGGCGATGTTGTCTTTCAGTCGGTGAAAACATGAGTAACTCATCATCACCTAACACGCACACGAGTCCGAACAGAACAAAACACCCAAGAAATACTTTCTACCGTGAAGTAAATCATCTACCTGTTCTGCTCGGCAAGCAAGACTTTGTATATTTCGATATTATGGGTCTTATCAGGTTACTCGCCACGTTGCGATCAACGTTTTTTGAGTATTGAATATAGATTTGTCACATTGCGGGCCAAGCATCCAAATCGCGTGGGGAGTTGACAGGGTTCAAAGACAAGTCCGTCCAGAAGCGGGACACAATCCCACCCCCTGCAATGTATATCGAGGGTGCGCACTGTGTATCGAGTCATGGCGAAGGCTGGCTTGTCATTCCTGCTTGGATTCAGATGGCGTGTGATTTTCCGTCAAGAAACCACCAGGTAAGGTTGTTTCCTATTGTTTCTTGACTGATTCTGGTTCATCTACCCGTTGTCATATGTTATTTGTGCCGTAAAACATGTGTTGCCTTGGTGCCGCATGGCCCTCGTGTCAGCCTTGCTGCTGCACCTTTCCTGTTGGGTTGGCAACCTTTGCTTGTTGGCATCCAACCAGCCAACAAGTTCACGTAGGTATAGGTATGTGACAAGCTAGGGGGACCCGCAAATGGCAAGGGTTTCCTTGGGGTTTCCACTTAAACCAACCCCAAAGAGCCTAGCCGGGTAGCCTCAAAACGGCACATGGATTCACCGATGCGTAGCCGACGTTGCGAGGTCACGGAGGGCCAGCGATTGAGTTGGATTCTTTGGCTACAGGACCAGCTGTCCATTTGGGGGAGACCTTTGGCTGTGGGTGTCTTTTAGACCCACACAATGGTTGGTGTTCCTTTCGGTTGTCATTTTGACACATCAAAGAGACGGGAGGTGGGTACCCTCAAAACAGACACCCAAGTCTCACTTGATGAGATTAGAAAGACCAGCCCCAAATCGTGCACGTGTGCCAAGCATGCATGGCTTCTTTTATTCCCCTTGCCATAGCTTGGATTGATTAAGTAACCTTTGGCAAGTGCCTGCGAGACACATGATGCTGAATGAGTTGTGGTGATTCTCGAGTTGTGCGCAGTCTTACGAGGGATGGCAGGCACAAAGAGTTTGGCAACGCCACGCTCTGGCGATGTGCGCCAACCTTCCGATGGGATGTCTGCAACTCCCAATCACCTGCGGAAGTGCTGACGCCATCACAAAGACCTGCCAGATCCTGCAAAACCAGGTTGCTTCAGTTGGAGCCACAACCAACTTGCGCTTTTTCCTTGCCAAAGCGGGGAACGGCCACTGGGGCCGAGTTCTTTTATTTTATTTTGGGTCCGCAGGATGCCAGCCCCTGCGTGAGCCAAGTGGAGCTGCACCAAAGGCCATTCCTCAGAGTGGCCGCGCAGGCCGGGATTTGTGACGACTGCATTTGTGGTTCGGTTCGGAGTGAGGTTGATACGGCACCCTGTCCGCACGGACTTGGGGAGTTTAGGAGTTTGAGGGCTGGAGTAGGTTTCCAGTGTACGCCGTGTTGAGCAGTTTCACTCGCGCTGATGTTGCTATCTCAACCCCGCGAAAATTGTGCCTCCCGCGGGACTTTTCGGTGGCTTGCGCGCCTCTGCAGCCGCAGGCCGGAAATGTGGTGGCCATGCAAATCCTGGGAACAGGCCAGGCCCTGGAATCACACACTGCGGGCAGATGTAATATCATGAGGACAAATGCCTGTAGTGTGATGTTTTCCTTGAAACCAAATTGAAGTTTAGGGGTAAGTTTTAAGATGTCAACCTGTCAGCACAAGGGATAGTCATATAAACATAGTTGGCATTGTCAGCAGAGGCCCAAGTCATGTTGCACTGGCAAATCACCCAAAGCTCTGCAACGGCTGGATATTTAGATTCTGCAGGCATGCTACAGTAGCAATGCTGCGGTACTGGTAGTGTTTGAAAAGCTGCCAGATGCGGCAGTCTTGACTTGCCTGCAAAAAGAGAGGCAGCATCATGTTTTCCAGCCATTTGGACGCGTGCATTTGTGAGTGACACGAGGCTTGGTACAAGGAATTGAAAGAGAGTGTTGCAGAGTTGTTCTGCGACCCTCAGATTTCATGTTTCAATTTCAAGGTTGCTGTTTCTGTTTGGTCCGGTTGGCTTTGACCTCCATTGGCCATGTGGCCACATCTCAGGTGCTCACGCTTTTCTGACCGGCCGGCTCCCCACTTAAGCTGCCCACAGGAAGGCTAGTGTTGGTGGCCGGGCCAATGTGTTTGTTCTCCCGGCCAAGCCAAGCTCAAGTCAGCCAACAGGCAGCCCCAAGTGGCTTGCAAGTTTGCTTGGAACGTTGTATTACAGAAGGCATTCATGGGCTATAGGGAATTATTTTTGAGACATTTGTGGGAATTTCCAGCCGGGCCAGTTTGCTTCTGTCCTTTGACCTTGGAGGTGAGAATGGCCGCAGCGACGAGGGCAGGGCCTGTCTGCGGCAGGCTGCAGAGGCACTCAGGGAAAGGATGAGATCGGCATTATTAATCAGGGACCCTTTTGTGGACAGCATTGGGATTTATGTCCACCAACCACTTTTGAGGCTCTTAAAATTGACACACCTTTTGCGGCGACCAACCAAGTTTTCACTTGGGGTTCGGAAGGGATGGTCGAGCCCTTAGTAGGGATGTCCGACCACCCTTGTCAGGGTTGCTGTTCTGGGGAACATGACCGTGGCCCGCATCAGTGTATTGTGGATGCCATTCATCAATGCGACGTCATTCTGGAAAAGTTGCATATTCTTCTTGCTAAGGTGAAGGGGTAGTTGTCTCACCTCTTCTTGATTCGATCCGTTTGGGCCAAAGTGCCCCCCAACTCACCCGCGAGACAGCGACCGATGACCGTGGCCCGCATCGGGAAGTTTGACAGCTGCGCATATTGTGTGTTGTTGCTTTGTCAGCGTTGGACTTCCCAACCAACGGGTTTTCGGCTATGTTCCTTGCCAGCTAAATAGATTTGGGGGTCCTATATGGCTAATATGTTGTGCTGTTTGGCTCCCAAATGTTTACGGATCCAAGGCGTTTGACAAGCACGCGGCCTTCAAGAAGGGGAACCGTGCCATGCCACGGGGGAATTCAACGGAGTTCGCTGGCCAGGCCGGGCTGGCTGGCGCTCAGGCTCACTTGGCCAAGCGCCTGCAAGAGGAAGGCGAGGAGGCGAGCTTGGTCCCAGTTGCCCTTTTTCTTTTTTCCGTGTGTTTTTTTTTGGGGGGGGGAGGGTTCCCCTTTAAGCTCAACCAACCAAAAAAGGATGCTCTTGTTTTCCCATGGCCACTGGGCATCTGAGGGGTGGGTCCAAGGCTGAGGAGCCACTGAGCTGCTTTTCCAGTTCTTTGGGATGTAGTGAACCTAATTCGAACTTTACCTAGGCGACAGACTTGACTTTGTCATGAACAGTCCGAAGCAGGGCGGAAGTCCGCGTGCCACATTATTGGTATTTGACCCCGTGACCTGCTTGCAGTGATGCCTTTGCGAAGAAATATCAACTTCGATATTTTGGTACTGTGAACCCTACTTCAAACAAAATAATGCGAGCAAGCAACGAATGGGGGTTCAATCGGGCGAACTAAGTGATTGTCATTCTCGTTTTGCGGATCCCTTTGCTTCCAGTTGGAGAGTTAAAGACAGATAGTTGGGAGATTCCCACCCCAGAAAAAAGCCCTGGCGGTCTAGGACAATCACGACATAGTATTTGAGCACGATGGGTCGGATTGTAGTATGTCTCCTTATGAACCATGACAAATGGTCAACGTTCAAGTAGTTGTGGTGTTAATTTTGCATGAGCACATACCTGCCTTCGTCCTTTGTTACGCGCGAATTATACGCATATACTGAAATGCTTCTGCACCTGGCTGCAGTGTGGGTCCGTGCTTAGCGCAAGAGAGTGATCGGTTACATTGGTTGAAATGCTTGAATGTGGATGCACACGACATGGTGAACCAGCAGGCCCCCACCGCCAGTTCACCCGTTTGTTTGACAGGCGGAAGCACTGCGATGGTGGGGCAACCCAGAACGGCTGAGGTGTGGCTTTGAGGGATTGAACAGCAGCTGAGGAACAAGGGCAAAATCCACCTCGCACATGCATGCCATGTATCAAAACTGCAAGCCAGAAATGAACCTCGGATCGGGGGGACCTTTGAGTGGGTGGATTCACTAGAGGAAGAACCCTAGGACGGGTTAGACCCGGGGTCAACATTGCGCCTTGTAAGGCATCGAATCAGAAGCCACGCACAGATAGCTCGCATGAGCCTCAAATCGAAGCTCAGGCCTCCTCTCCTACTCAGAGCCTCGGAAAATCCCCATGTATCAAGTTGCAAACTTGGGTGTCCTTTTTCGGTATGACTAGAAATGGACACTGGTTTAGATGGGCTTTATTGCATTTACCAGGGCCATCTCTTCCAAAAGGCCACCTATGGTTGCAAGTGATTCATCCCAGTTAAGTCGGGTGTGTTTACAACGAGGGTCGCGATGCAAGTCCGCTGTGCGTGATGTGAGGCTCGGTTTGGAAAACCACAGAAGCATACAAGGGCTCCTGTAGGTCAAGGCATACACTCGTTGTTACTGCAATTAAGGGAGGGGACTTCCTAGGAGTGCGTGCTTTTTTGACTAATATGTTGCAGTCTGAGTGTTAAGGATGTACCTTTCGCCCTCAATCCACATTTGGGGCGATGCTCTTCCCCTCGAGAAATGATTTTTGCCTAGGCTGAGAGAGGCAGCCAAGCAAGCGGATGCAGGCGGGCTGTCGAACCGGGTCGAGTGCGCGTATTGCGGATGCGTTGTTTCGCACATGTCTTAGTTGCATCCAGAACAAATCAGCGGACTATGTGGTTTCCTTCTTCGCACAGCCTTTGTAGTCATGGTCCAAAAAGAGGGCTTGTCTTTTTTCAGATCCTTCGAAAACTGCAAAACAGAGCCAAGGCGGATGATGAATGATGACAGAGCAAGATTGACAGCCTGGGGATAAGCTAGCTAGATGGTGCGTGACCATGGTTGCACCGTTACCCTCTAGGTCAGTTGAGTCCTAAGCAAGGCGAATTGGGCGTCCACGGGCCCAACTGACCCGGCCTACACAACAACTGCGGAGAACATGTGGGTGGACAACCCCATTGAGAGGTTCGCCACATCTTACTGTCCGTTTTCCCTGTGTGAAGATGTTGGGCAGCGACAAGTACATGCTTGCTGCGGGCTAACCCAGGAAGTTCAGCACGGAGTGTATGTGGGCGTCGTGCTAAAACCCATGTGGTCGGTTTAGTGTTCCGAATTTCCAGGCTTACATGGCATGAGCTTCCCAGTGTGTGCGCGGGAGAGACGCGGAAGGGCAGCGGAAGAGATGCGGAAGGGCCAGTCGAAAGCATTGACCGAAAACCAGTGCTAACTGGTGTGTAGATTTACAATGGGCGCGGAAGTGCGCGGAAGATTTGCTGAAGGGCGGAAGGGCAGTGTTCAGAAGCATAATTTTGCACCACCCCCATGTGCATAGCCCTTTGACCAGGCGCAATGGCCTCCTTGGGCATGGCTCTGCTGCAGAAGGAGCCCCTCAAAGCTGAGGAGGGGATGAGGCCTGCATCGCATGTGTGGGGAAAACGACAGTCTAGGTGGCTTCTTGTTCCCTGTCCGAGAGGGGTGGCTAGATTCTAGTTTGGCGTTTGCACCCCTTTTAGGCCTGTGCCCTACCTACCCACCTGCCTGCACCCTAGCCATCTACTCCAAGCAAGCTTCAAGATATGCTGCTCCTACCATGCCGCAAGGCTTTCGAGCTGCCCTGAGTACACCATGCTAGCCGAACCCCAGGAGTAGCTCGAGTAATTATTCCACACCAGAAAAGAGCCCACAGCAAAATTTGAGGGCGAACATGATGGGCTTCGCGAAAAAGAAGAAGCTATCGCACAGCAATGATGAGAACGCTTGTGGGAACGGCCCGGAAGAAGGTGGGGAGTCTTCGAAGTGAAGGATCTTAGTTCTGTTTCGCCAGCATCAGCCCAGCAAAATGTATGTTTTCTGCTTTGGCCAAGGGCCGAGTAAGGTTGATTCCTGGTCTCGATTGCTAAAGCGGCTCGACCATTGCAATGATCCAAATACCTGCGGTGTTGCCCACGACTAGGAGTGGCTGCGGAAGGCGGCAGCGGCCGGGCATGCGGTGGCACAGCACGACCTAGGCGGGCAACTCCGAGGGGCTTAGCTTGCAGCTTCTGATACGAACCCGGGATACCTCGTGGTTGATCGAGATGGAGCGCGATTTGTTGCATTTCCCGCTGGGAGATCCCTGACCGCATTGACGTTTCGGCGCTTGGATCATGTTTTGGGCCGCTGTTGGACTCTTGTTGCAACGTCGCTCGGCAGCCGGACCCTTCCCCGCAAGCGTTGGTCTGAGGCTGAAACCCCAGGTTGTTTCACAACTACCTTATGATATGTACGTAATGGTCAGAATTCGGCACCCCCACCACAGTCATGACCTTGAAGCCCGGAAAATGAGAGCGACGTGGCAATAATCGGGCTGCCATTTGTGTTGCAGAGCTGCAAGGACTATTCAATCACACTCGCCCATGTGCAAAGACAGCGCGCATTGAAATGAAATCCACGCGAAGCTTCACTGCGACACGAATCCATTTGAGCCCGCGCGTCAAAGGATTGGCTCACCGCGGTTCAGTATTCCCTGAACAATATGCCAAACAAGTTGGTTGATAAACAACTACACTGTTTCTCTACGAAAGCCGGGGATCTTGCATACACTTTGGTAACATGACGGGCCAGTGTATAGCTTACAGCAAGCAGCTGAGTTGCCTCGATTTCAGGGGGCCCAGGAGTGCACTTCCAAGAGTTCAAATGGTCCTAGGTGTTGTGGTCACACTGTGACAAGTGATTAGCCCAACCCAAAAGGCTGTGTTTCCTTTCTTCTGGCATGCTCGTAGAGGTCCCTTGTCTTGACAATCTCGCAGACCGGCAATCACAAAGGCGCAAGACTTTTAGGGCCATGTTCGAGGGGCCGCCGATTTCAGAAGACTTGGCTGGTGCTTGCTTTTTCCTATGGTTTCTCAACAAACGATCAAACCACCATGTCCACGATGATGATTGGAAAAGGAAGTGCGAACCAACTGGCTGAAACCTCACACACCTGTTGATCATACCCAGTCCCCTGGCTGACTCATTTGGTGACCGAACTCAAGCTGCCCCACAAACCAACCTTTGAAAGTGAGAGGATCAGAACTTCTCGGAACTTCGTTTTGAAATTCCTGTCATGCTCGTGAGTGGCCACCAGGCATGGCTTTGCTGACTGGGGCCTTTGGCAGGACAGCTAGAGTATTTTGTGTGATGTTGTTTTTTTTGGTGTATTTGGTTGGTTGGCTGGTTGGGCGTCACAGTCCAACATAAGAGCCTGAGTCATGATTGAAACCGCTAATATGATCACAATCCCAAGATTCATACCAGACCCAGTTCTTGACCAGTTGCTTCCTTGCATTCACCTCGCTTCTCCAAAAACGGCCTTCTGAACTTTTGAAGTGCTGGTTGTTTGGACCGGTACCCTTGGAGTCATGACCCAAATGTAAACATGTTGCTCCTTTGAGCACCTCAGCTGTTTGTTTTGCGGTGGCTGCTTTCGAGTACCTACGATAACTTATAACCATTAAGGGCCGGCGGAGCCGGGAGCGGATTTCTCCAAAATGAAAGAAGCATAGTTCGGACCACACTGATCTTCCCCTTTTCCTTGGTATCTCCTTCTTTGTGGCTTTACTAGTTTTATCTGTCTTTCTTTCTTTCTTTCTTTCTTTATTGATTTATTTGTTTGTTTGTGTGCTTATTTATTTACAACTATCTATTTCAAGATCTGCATATATCTTGATTGTTTGTTTCTTGCTTCGTTCTTTATTTATTCATTTATTGTCATTGTTCATTTTGCTTGTTTGTCTCTCTGTGTGTTTGTTTGTCTTGTTTTCTGTGTGTTCCTTCTTTTCGCCTGCCGTCCTTGCTTTGGTTTCGTTTCCTCTGTTTCTTAAGTATTTGCTTGTTTCTCTCTCTCTCTCTAGTTCTTTCTGTACACTTCGCTCTTTATGTTGCTCTTTCTTTATTTGCTTTTTCATGTATTTGCTTTGTCAATTAATTCATTTGCGTGTATTCGTTTTGTTTCGTCCTTCCGTCCTTTCTTTCTTTCGTCTGTCTGTCTGTCTCCCATGTGGTCTTCTCGGAGGACCGTAGATGCGGCCTTGTGGTTGGAGCGCGCCGCGCGCCAGGGCCACGCACCGGCGCGGATGCCCAATGGGCCTTTTCCAGTCGCGAGCAGAGTCGTCCATTTGCTTAGGACTTGTGTTCTATGGATGCTCTTTGTTTGTTCTCCAGATTCGGAAGGAGTCTACCAGATGATCCCTTGAGTCATTTGCTTAGCACTTGTGTTTTTATGCTCCTCTGTTTGCTGCAAAGGGAATCTAGCACTGGACATATAGTTATTTGTGTTTTGCGGACCTAAGCAAATGGAAGGAGTGGTCTGCTATTCGGGATCCGGGAAAGTCTCGATTGCATGCCGCGTTTTTTGCCGGTGTCACAGGGTTGCAAGGAGACATGGCGTTGGAACATGGAGTTCCTGCGACCCCTCTACCTGCTCCCCCAAACACACAAGATTGGATGTTTGTCCAGGTCCAGAAGATTGTCTCGTGGAATCGCTCATTGTGCAGTCCAAGCCGAGACTCGTCCTCCAATGGTCAGCCTATGGTCAGCCTTTGACTCAACATGCAAGACAACTTGCTACAGAACCCGCGAAGGTTTTCTGAGGACTTTGTCTCAGGTTCCATGTTTGTTTTTGGAGGGTACCGCGCGTCTAATTGTTTGGTTGGGATTGAAGTTGGACCTGTTCACTCTACAAGCCGCAGTGCCCTCCTGGAGGCCAAAGCGGGTAGAATACGCCAAAGATTCCTATGGCCTGAGCAGTTGCGTGCAATGAGCCATTAAAGTTCCCCCTTGGCAAGCCCCAGCGAACCAGTTACTCGGAGATGACCTTTGCAAGCGAAATCAGGGGCCAGCGACACCAACCGCTCGAGGCCCAGCTTGGACATCTACCAATGGTACCATTTTGGGGTAGGTGAATTCACCACCCATTTTGGTCTATTTTAGTTGGGATTGGGATGTTCACTGGGGGGTGCGATTTGGATTTTGACCCATGGCCATCTCCTGCCCTGCAGCCAATTTCGGCTCGTGTTTCGCGGAAGTACTCGTCCGGCTGCTTTTGCGCCATGGCAGAGGTGAGAGTGATGGTGGCAAAGGCCAACGGAGACATCGTGGGCGACTTCCGAGTGTCCACAGACATGCTGGCTTCTTGGTTCCGGGAAGTTGGTCTGAGACAATGTTATTCATGCTGCATGCTACAAACGTGACTATGAAGTTGTGCAATTAATCGAACACATGCTTGCGTACGTGTTAATATACATATATATATATACATATTTTAGATGTGTGCATGCACATTACGTTTGTTTTTATGCTATATGTGCATGATACGTGCATACTACACGAGCAGACAGAGGGAGACGGACGGACACAGATACAGACTAGATGTGGAGATACAAATACAGATATATATTTACAGATGCAGAGACCGAAAGACGTGAACACGCTGTCAGATTCTCCCGGCCCACGTTTGATGTCAAAACGGTTTGCTCAAACAAAAAGTGCCACGCCTACCAGCGTTTTGGAGCTCAAGAAAGAGAGCATTTCGATCTGGGCAAAACCAAGTTCTACGTTTGTATTGAAGGACCCCTCCAAATGATTGGTGGCGTCCTACGTTCTTTGCAAATGGACAGAAAGGGATCCGTTTTGACAAATGGACCAGCTCTGAGAAATCCCCCGCAGTCGAGAAACCAACTCAATGGCGCGACAAACCCCATCACAAACAGGAATATATAATTTCCTCAGTTGATTGGCCCCAAAAAAGCAAAGCAGGAGCATGACATATCCAGAAAGTAGCTTGTGCGCAGGTGTGCGACGGAGTGCGTGAACGGGTGTGTGTGTGTGTGTGTGTGTTTGTGTGTGTGTGTGTGTGTTTGTGTTTGTGCTTGTGTTTGTGCTTGTGTTGTGTTTGTGTTTGTGTTTGTGTTTGCGTTTGCGTTTGCGTTTGTGTTTGTGCTTGTGTTTGTGTTTGTGTTTGTGTTTGTGTTTGCGTTTGCGTTTGTGTTTGTGCGTTTGTGTGTTTGTGTGTTTGTGTCGTTTGTGTCGGTTGTGTCGTTTGTGTCGTTTGTGTGTTTGTGTGTTTGTGTGTTTGTGTGTTTGTGTGTTTGTGTGTTTGTGTGTGTTTGTTTGTGTTTGTGTTTGTGTTTGTGTTTGTGTTTGTGTGTTTGTGTTTGTGTTTGTGTGTTTGTGTGTTTGTGTGTTTGTGTGTTTGTGTGTTTGTGTGTTTGTGTGTTTGTGTGTTTGCGTGTTTGCATGTTTGTGTGTTTTGTGTGTTTGTGTGTTTGTGTTGTGTTTGTGTGTTTGTGTGTGTTGTGTGTTTGTGTGTTTGTGTGTTTGTGTGTTTGTTTGTGTGTTTGTGTGTTTGTGTGTTTGTGTGTGTGTGTTTGTGTGTTTGTGTGTTTGTGTGTTGTGTGTGTGTTTGTGTGTGTTTGTGTGTTTGTGTGTGTTTGTGTGTGTTTGTGTGTGTTTGTGTGTTTGTGTGTTTGTGTGTTTGTGTGTTTGTGTGTTTGTGTGTTTGTGTGTTTGTGTGTTTGTGTGTTTGTGTGTGTGTGTGCACGCGTGCGCAGGCGTGCGACAGAGTGTGCGGGCGGGTGTGCTTATCATGTGCCAGGCACCTGCACAGGCGTGGGATGGAGTGCGTGGGCGGGTTTGCGTCTCAAAAGCCCACGTGTTTTAGTAGTCGGGGGCCTCGCCTGGCAATAAATTGCTTCATACATGCACCCCCCCCTACAACTTTTTCCATCTTCCATCTTGTACCCTTATTCGTTTTCATCATTTTTCTACATTCCTTTCATTTCCTTTCTGTCCATCTCATCCGTTTTTTTCGCATCATTTTTCCAAAATGTTCGCCATCCTTTTCTCCTTCCTCCTCGCCTCATTCATTTCACCAACTACCCTTCAAAATGTCATTTCCTCAATCTCCTCACCTCATCCATTTCAATAAGTAAATTTTGCAAAATATATTGCAAACATATTTGTCATCAAAAATTATTTGAACTGTCTAAAAACGATTTGTCCATTTCTCGGACAAAAAATAGAACAGCAACAACATCACTCCCCTCCTTCGTTTCATCACGTTTATCATCACTCCTAATCAGTAAATGATACAATAGTGTTCATATTATTGTATCAATCACTCTAAGTTTCCCTATGCTTCTCCATTATGTGTTTCTCCCATTGATACGGTAGAAAACTGGCTCTACATGTCAAGCACCTAAAATGCTTTTTGCCATCTATGATTTTGATTTCATCAGGTTCTGGCAGTTTCTCCTCAGGGTTCTCGCTTCTTCTCAGGTTTCCTTGATGCCATGCTGTTTTCTCGTGTCTTGCTTTGCTTTTTAGTTGCAATTCAACATCACATAATGGACAGTAATGCGTTCTTGTTTTGCATTCCTTCATGTATTCTCTTTGCCTTTCTTGGTATTTTTCAGGATTGTTCTTTCTATCTTCCCTTCTGCATTCTCTGTATTTGTCAGGGTTGTTGTGGTAGAGTCTTTTACTTTTTGCTCTACATATACTGCAAGTCTTGAACCCTTCTTCAAACTTGTCGGCTTTTTGATTGAACATGCATTTGCTACAATACTTTCTTTCAATTTCCATCCTTATTATCTATAGGTGTTCTCTCTTTAAGTGTAAATCCAAGCCTATAATTATGAAAAAAATGTAGGCGTGGTGCTCCTTGTAGGATTTTATCCTCAATATATAAAACGCTATACTTACATTATAATTATAACATATAAGGGTATAAATGCTATAATCATAGTATAAAACTACTCAATTTCACGAGAGGTAGCACTCAAACCCACGAGAGGTAGCACTCAAACCCACGAGAGGTAGCACTCAAACCCACGAGAGGTAGCGCTCAAAGCCATGAGTGGTGCATTTTCCCTATAAAAGGCTCCGCCTTTCCCCGCAATGAATGCAATGATGGTGGATGTTGTGATGAACTCCTCCTAATTCAAACTCACTAAGATTTCACAAATTAATTCGCTAGGTATTTCATATAGGTCTTCTTGTTTATGTATTTTTGGATTGTCTCCCCATTTTTCCTTGGTGCCCGATGGTAGCCGTTGTGCTGTTTCAATATGTTTACTATTCCTGATGTTGCCACAATCCTTTTTACATAAATCTCTAGGTTTCCAAGTTGTAATGTTATTCCATAGCCTAGTCCTCTTTCTATACTGAAAACCATATTTACAGTAATCTACATCTTTAAAATCAAACTCATCCATAAACTCCCGATTTTTGATAATCCAGTTTGTGGATTTTCGAGTACAACATATTTAGGATTGAAATATTTGAGAATCTCAATAGTTTTTAAGACAATACTATTTGCATATTCGATATTCCTAATTCCCCTAGTTTTTGCTACACTATATTCAGTGCATGGGGGACTACTCCAAATAAAATCAAAATGGTTTCTGTCAAACTGTTTGTAATCCCACTCCAAAATATCAGTGTCGATATCAGCATTTTTCAAGTCTAATGATATTACATTAAATCCAAGCGACTTTGCTATGGTTCCGACGCTTTTTGTTCCGCTAAATAATTCTAATAAATTCATATTATTAGAATTACTTAGATATTAATTATTCAAATAATACATATACTCCATCATCATTTTTTGTAATTTTATAAAACTCTAATGTTTGTTGCTTTGGTTGTTTGATTTTATTACTATTCAACATTTCACAGTATGTCTTTTGTTTTGTTTCATAACTGCCCTGCGGACGACCCAAGCCACGGCTTTCAAATATCTTTTTGATTTTTTCTTTATCTTCATTGCGCTCAACTGGTTTCATTTTGTCATCAATGGATTTAATCATATCATTTAAGTGTTTGATATTTTTACCAATTAATGTTATCTTATTCATTAAATCATTAATAGTATAATTATCATTTTCAGACATTACTATATATTTTGTTAGATAATTATTTACTTAATTATATATTTTTAAAGTGCAATTAGGCTAAATCTACTCTTTAAATACTAACTTAAGTCCCTGTTAAAACTAACATTAATCAAATGTTCATTAGTTTCAACAACCATATCGCCACCTGTTTTGTTCTCAATATTCAAATCCTT